GTGTAGGTATCTGTATCTATAATTTCCAGGGAGCAGCTAAAAATTTAACTTAGCTGCTTCCTGATAATTTTGTACGTTTATAATTTTAAATTTTATGTGCCCATAATCCTAAGCTAATTTTGTCTTCACTTGTGTTCTAATGTACAGGTATTTTAGTTTTACTGGTAATTAATTTTTTTTTCTACAAACTATTACGCCATTGTTGTTTTCTGGCAAATAAATTGACTCTATAAGCGCTTCAAGTTGAGTAGTATTCAATAATCAATTAATTTTTCATTCGGAAACGTTCTGTATCAATAGATAATTACAAAAGAAACTAACAAAAATGAACAGTAAGCGTAGGCCTACACATCCCAGAGTAAAGATGTCACTCCACTAAGGTCCTAGCAACCCGCATACAACAGAAACAAAGAGGCCTCGGTCGTGGCCTAGGCTATGCATACTACCGGGGTAGGGACGTCCACATTAGGCCTAGCTAAGCCTACCTTCATCATGAAATTGAAAGTCATTTTCATTATATTGATTGTAAATTCGTAAGGTTAAACTGTAAAACATGTGAACTTTTGGGTCTTAAAACAAAAGAAAACTGGGAAAAGAAGCCTTTAGGCCCAGTACTTCAGGAATATTGAATATCTAGAGAGTGCGAAAGTGCAGGTAGGGCCTAGGCTAGCTTACTAGCCCAGGCCTATCTAGGCCTAGGCCAATGTGCCAATATGATACGAGTCAACTGTCTTATACCATGGAGGTATACCTCCATGAGATACGGTATATTTGTAAGTTTACATACCTTTTTCACACGATAATAGCTTAATGTAGATCTGGACTAAATTATTCAGACAAAAACCGGTAAAAAAAATAGCTTTTATTATCTGTTATAAGCCTATCCTTCTGACTCGTGGTCAGCCGCTGTCTCTTATACACATCTTACGATGAATGCTTATTCCACAATTGGGTGAATGACCTGTGTTGATGGTTTTAATCTCCGGTAGGTATGGTAAAAATGTTCCACACTAAAAAGAAAACATAAATTAAATCTACTGTAGTGGCTTGACTTGGTCAAAGTAGATGATGTCATAGGTAGGTATTGAGGTTGTCATGATGTCAACCTAATGGAGATGCTGAAATATAAAACCCACTGACACACATTATGGTGGAAGTACACACAGTCATGTAGAATTAGAGAGTTCAGCATTTTACCCAAATAAATATTTATGTAATGCTCTCATTTTGTTCAAATCAATGTACCAAAGTGCAAAGAGAAAAAAAAATGACAGAAATATTACAATGATATTAACAAGTTCTGAAACCAGATGAGTAAACAGCTTAGGCCTACTTACTTTCCATACTTCGGGTATATGCAGAATGTACTTTTGGTGGGTTACCGAAACACATGACACACAAAAATTCACATTTGGACTACAATCCAAGCAGCGGAATATTTTGTCTTTTAAAGGGAGATCACAGGCACTACAACAAGAGTTCAAACAAGGAGACCAGCTGTCAATAAGGCTAGGAACAAGTATGTCTCTAACACTTTGCCAATCATGTACCTCTTTCTCTTTCCTTTTGTAATGCATACTTGGTTGATGTTCTTTTTGAATTCCTGTTTCAATGTCCATTGGTGACTCATCTCTAATCGATGGTGCCTCTTGTAGAGCGATAGGTACATGACACTGTTGTCCATTGACAGCTATCCTTTTTGTTTTGCTTGACCCATATAGAAATTTACGAACAGGGCGTTGGCGCCTCGTGCCAGTTCTCACAGTGATGAACGGTCTACTGACTACAACCCCTGACCTGCGGCGATGCATTATAATTCACTGTACAATCTGTTATTTCTGTGACCTCCTCATGCTTCTGTCCAAAAAGCGCGCTCACCAGGCTAAGTAACGCCCTCTTTAACACTAGTAAAAATAGTTTTTAAGATCTTCCAATATAGATTGTACAGGGCACCAGTCAGCTAAACCACCAGTAGGCCTAGGACCTAGAAGAAAATAAAGTTCATGAATAGTGTACTGTATCTAACAACAGCAAATCTAGCAACGTGAAATTCCCACAACTGATCAGAGAAATCATAATATAACTATTAGGCTACATGTAATTTGACAACATTGCTTCGGTTGATGATCTTTCTGGCATCTAATTATATTGATTGCATTAACCGACAATTGGCAATGTTATATTTTTATATTTCAATTTGGTTTCAATTTTGTCTTGTCCAATTTGTAAGGTGTAGGTATCTGTATCTATAATTTCCAGGGAGCAGCTAAAAATTAAACTTAGCTGCTTCCTGATAATTTTGTACGTTTATAATTTTAAATTTTATGTGCCCATAATCCTAAGCTAATTTTGTCTTCACTTGTGTTCTAATGTACAGGTATTTTAGTTTTACTGGTAATTAATTTTTTTTTCTACAAACTATTACGCCATTGTTGTTTTCTGGCAAATAAATTGACTCTATAAGCGCTTCAAGTTGAGTAGTATTCAATAATCAATTAATTTTTCATTCGGAAACGTTCTGTATCAATAGATAATTACAAAAGAAACTAACAAAAATGAACAGTAAGCGTAGGCCTACACATCCCAGAGTAAAGATGTCACTCCACTAAGGTCCTAGCAACCCGCATACAACAGAAACAAAGAGGCCTAGGTCGGGGCCTAGGCTATGCATACTACCGGGGTAGGGACGTCCACATTAGGCCTAGCTAAGCCTACCTTCATCATGAAATTGAAAGTCATTTTCATTATATTGATTGTAAATTCGTAAGGTTAACTGTAAAACATGTGAACTTTTGGGTCTTTAAACAAAAGAAAACTGGGAAAAGAAGCCTTTAGGCCCAGTACTTCAGGAATATTGAATATCTAGAGAGTGCGAAAGTGCAGGTAGGGCCTAGGCTAGCTTACTAGCCCAGGCCTATCTAGGCCTAGGCCAATGTGCCAATATGATACGAGTCAACTGTCTTATACCATGGAGGTATACCTCCATGAGATACGGTATATTTGTAAGTTTACATACCTTTTTCACACGATAATAGCTTAATATAGATCTGGACTAAATTATTCAGACAAAAACCGGTAAAAAAAATTAGCTTTTATTATCTGTTATAAGCCTATCCTTCTGACTCGTGGTCAGCCGTCACGTTTTCTCGCCTTGGCCCACCCTCTGCGGCGGTTGCTCTTTTGCTCTCTGGTTGCCGGACCAATATTATTTGGTGTGACATGGTTACATGTCTCATACATTTAACAGTACCACACGTGTGCTGTGTGTAGGGCCATTCTTTGATAGCAGACGACGTAACTTCCTGTGAGTTACATCGTCTCGTAACAAGTAACTGTATGCGTAACGGGTGCATTGTAATGTCACAACTTTCGGATGAGATGAAAACAGTTTATTCCATAGGCAAATTTATAAACAGATTAACTGACTATTCACGCAAGCAGGATAAAGTGACTTCGTATGACCTTAAGAATGCACTATTTTATTACATGGAAATGAATGTGCAGACTGAAAATTTCTGTTCAGGAGAGAATCCAGAAGAAAGGGAGAACAAAAAGTGTGAGTATAGCTGGGGCGGGAGCTATAATGGTGACTCGGAGTCATTGCCGCTAATGGTTAAGCATCTGAGAACTAAAACATTACAGGTATTTCACGACGGACTGTCGCTTCTAAGAGAGCATACGTCTTACTACTTTGGGATTAGTCGGTGGGCTGAAAAGGAAGACGAAAAAATTCCCAAAGCAAACCAACAAAACAAATTGGAACAAATGTTGCTACTTTTTTTGTGATAATAACGAGAGCTCATTTATTTTTTACTCAATTGGAAACACACAACAATGTACCGACTTCTGGCAGGGACTTATAACTATTAATAGTTATAAGTCCTTGGTGAAAGTTTAAAGCTATTGTTTCTGCTTGAGAGTCAAGATAGAGTGGGTTTGTCTCCTGATTAAAAAAAAATAAGGTTTTGAAAACACTGACTTACACTTGGGATTAGGGAAAAGCTCTGGTTTTATACTATATTTAACAGAGGAGCAATAAATGATATTTAAACCAGTGACGCATGCATCTGAGATTCCCCAACAGGTGGGACGTCAAAGTTCCCCGAGAGGACCAAGGTCCTCAACAGGGTCCACACCCTACCTCAGCCATAACATGGTTGGACTCGGAGCAAAGAACAAAATGGACCTTTCCGCTAAGCCCCGCCCCTTGGATATTGTTGCTAAGGTCCCACAAGACGACAGTGTTAAAACATACGCGAACACGTGCGTTTGTGGGACAACACGTGTGTTTGTGAGACGCGCGCGTATTCCTAGCGCTGTTCTGATTAGTCAGTTGTTAAGTTTGATTGACACTCCGGAAAGGTCTATTGCAGTATCAGACTGTAAAAACGCTTTTCTACAAGTTTCTACTACTGTATTATCAATTGTTTTCCATCCCAGTTGTTGTGCCAATCATAATGGTTATAGTGTTTCACAGTGAAATGATTTCCTTCTTCTCCATCCCTCACCGACCTAAAAAAAAGAAAAGAAAAGAAAATAAGAAGAGGGGAGAGATAAATAAGAGTATTGAAAGCAGTGCATACTTCTATAAAATTTGTAATTGTGTCACTGTGCTCATCATAATATATTGATTTTATATTACAATCGAATATACCACCCGCCTTTAATGTCTTGGGCCCTTCTCAAAGCTGCTACACCACTGCCTCAGTCGTGCATGTGTGACCAAAAAATCGTGTTAAATGTGCGGTTTTAATACGGCGTGAATAAAGGTACGATTTTGTCTGTAGCTTAAATGTTCAGGCCCCTTTTTAGGAGCATGGGGACAAAAATCCATGCCATGGATACCCAGATAATTTATAGGAGACCCCTTGTTGGTTCTGCGGCTTTAGTATAATGTAAGGCAGGTGATATCACGTTTAACTCCATTCGATTTAGTAAGTGGTTTTCTACATCTAACAGTAAAACAACAATATCCCTCTCTCAGGAAATCAAACAAATTTAAACATTTTAATTGTAAAACAAATAGAATTAAAAATATTCCACTCCCTTATCTAACCAATTTACTTGAGCTTCAATAATCAGACCTTTTCTTAGGCACTTAGTGCATCCTTGCTTTGTCTCTGGCCTCTTCTTTCCAATGTCAATTTCAACCAGCCTTTAAAAAATTGCAATATTTTATAAGACATTGAATTATGAACTATTTTAATTTGTATTTTTTTTGTATATATAGGCCTAAATTTTTTAATTTGTAGTGTTGTTGTAGTGTCATATGTCTCAGTCATTGTTTTATAAAATTATTTCTGCAATTCAGCGTTTGCTTCACTAGAATACTTTTATGAATTTATATTGAATAAAGATACTATAATATATATATATATAATATATATATATATATATAGGCCTATATATATACACTCTTCTGTATCAATGTTGTTGAAATAAGGCCAGGCACACACTACGTTGTATGACAAATCCACCTCCCTTTCTATATAAGCACAACGAAAAAATCTGTTGTATGCACCTCACCTCATGCGTTTTCTATGAAATCGCGTAAGCTGATGACTGTTGGTGCAGTGTGGCTTAAGAGATTTTAATACAAACTAAATAAAAACATATTTTTTCCGATATTGATTCATCTTCTGTTTTCATTTTCTTTGTTAATTTCAAATGCACAATAAAAGAGCAAGTACAATGTATTCAGGAAAAGTTCAATCAGTAATGATAGGGGCGGATTTAAGGTTGGGAGAGCCCCCTTTTTTGCAAAGTCAAAATAAAAAGGAAAAAAGCGAAAGAAAGAAAAAGAAATAATTGATCGTCCAAAACGCGTCAGAGGTTATTTTCGGGTGTCTAGAGAACAAAAATGTCGCGGGGGAATGCCTCCGGACCCACTAGGCTAGTGTTATCTCGATCGGATCTTCGTCCCCACTTTTGGACATCCGAGGATCCGCCCCTTGAGTCAGTGGCGGATACTACAGTGGGCAAAATGGGCGCTCGATTATTTTACCACTAATTTTGATTTTTTTTAAATTGATTTTGACGACGAACACAACGTTATATCCCCGACGTCGATTTTTAGTCCAACGATTTCACAAGTCCGGGTGTCAAAAAAGGCCAAAACTAAGACGGTATTTTCAGCCATTTTTACAGTATGGGTGGCCAAGCTCAGAGCAGCTATCCATGCTTGAAAATGTCTTTTCAAAATTGGTGATTTTTCTCTATATTGTTGCCTCTTATTAGACCTAAACATTTAATATTATAATACATGTCCTCTATTATAGCGCTAAAGAGATGATAAACGACACCGTGTTTACAGTACAGTATATGTAAAACGAGCAAACCAAACAGTTGCCACAAAACTCTTCGACATCCTGTCACAAAAAATATAGTTGTACCGCCCTCTATTTACCTATGTTTTCTCGAATTCGAAAGAAATTTACTAGACATAAAGTCGACTACATCTGAACAATCAAAAGTGTTATAATAAAAGGTAGCCTATATAAAATAACACAATGATTAAACTTCTTTAGCATCAATTTCATAGGATTTAAATGTTTTCAACAGAATCGGACACAATTGGGCGTAATGAAATATCATCCGAATTATTATTACATTATTTAAGTATTCTTCAAGTAGTATTTTCATACACGGTTGGTACTCCGTAGTGCCACAGATCACATGTGGTGGCCCTATAATCCAGTTAATCCAGTCATGCTACCTCGGTTAGGTGCGGATCTAAAGATGTCCAAAGGGGTGGGTGGTGAGGGGTGAAGGGCGGGGCCGATCGAGATAACACTATCTCAGGTGGTCCGGGGGATATGCGGAATTTTTGTGTTCTAGACGCCCGAAAATAACATCTGAGGCGTTTTAGGCTATCATTTTTTTTTCTTTTTCTTTCTTTCTTTCTTTTTTTTTTCTCTTTTACTTTCTAAAAGGCCGGTCCGGGGCCGGGTTCGGGCCGTGCCACCCGCCCCCCACCCCCAATCCGCCCCTGTCGGTGACCCAACCTCCATCCACCTAACTTTGTTCACGAATGATCCTCTTGGAATCAGTTTTTATTTCAATTAAAATGTTAAATTGATTACATAAGAATTAGATGAGTCACTGTCTATGGAAAACAGTTCGCGGAAGAGGAGTAGACCTGTATTCAAAATATTGGTACTATTAATATGGGACTAATCAGATGGCTGACGCCGTTCTCCATCGACAATTTTATGTGCATTATTTATGTACAATTATTATCTTATATACACTCAAGAATCTGAAAAGAAGTTAAAAACGATGGATATTTATATATATACATATGTATATATATATATAAATATATATATATATATATATATATGTTAATAGTATATGTAGGCCCTATATATGTACATGTGTATATAATGTATATATAATTATAGTACCCCAATTAATAATAGTGCAAGTGTTTATGGTGCAATGTACTTAGCGTCTAAATCAGTCTGGAAATTCAAGGTAAGACTAACAAATCAATTTATAGAAAAATGTTGTGTTGCATATTCTTCGGCAATGCCGTACTGTATTATAGTGCAGTATATGGCTTAAATTTAATCCATGAAGGTGTACAAGAGATGAACTAAAATCCAGTTGATATAAATCGACCAGCATAATTTGATTTTTCTTTTAAATGGTTGGTTGAGACCTTTTCATGTTTAGGGTATTATGTTTACTTAAGCTATAAACAAAATGGACAGTCTTTCCAGGAGCCCTGGACAGCAAATAAACTCATCAATGGCTGGTATTTTGGGGAAATTTAAACCCATCATCTTCCATATAATTATTTGTTTAACTTACAATGATAGATAAAACAATCAAAATACATTCATTGGTATTCAGTATTTTTACTTAGGAACTTCGTATTGCTGCTATACAAAATTTATTATCCTAAACATCACATTACTTTGACATTACAAACTCTAAAGCCTGATATTAAATAAAAGGCCTAACATTGACAGAAGAAAATATATTGAAGGAAGAAGCGAAGTGGCAACGGAAGAGGGCGTTGTGCTTGAATATGTCGGTAGCCAAGGAGTGTAGTTTATCCATAGATTCTCATGTGAGCCAAGTGCTGCCTCTATCACCTGCAACAAACACAATAAATACGGTATCGAATGAAAGTACCTTTCAATTAAAAGAGGATCACGGGATCTAGGTCTGATATGAAAAATTGTGAAGAAACTCTTAACTGGGGTATTCCTTAATAGGGACTTAAAATATATGTACCGTACATTCCCCTTGTTTCGTGGGAAAGTATTATCTTAATAGAAGTGTCCATTGAATAGAGTGTTCCTGAAACGGGGTTCTACTGAATGAATTTTATCATCATTATTATCACCATCGTTACCATCGCCCGCATCATCATCAACATCATCATCATCGTCGTCGTCGTCGTCATCATCTGACATCATCATAATCATCACCATTATCATATGCATCACACATTATCATTTTAAAATTAAAATTAGGCATTTGTCGGGTAAATTACCTTTTGTTGTCTGTACCCATTTTGTGGTATACTAAATGTAAAGCCGATTTTGCAAGCCGTAGAGCCACCATCGTATGGACCAGCTTCGTCACTGATGACCCATTCATCTCGATCAGTAATATTTTGACAAGCGAAGTGAAGTTCAATCCCACAATTCTCCGGAGTAAACCACCGCCCGATCAAAGTGCTAACACGAAATTGGTAAATTAATAATTAAATAAATCTAAGTGACGATTTGACAATGAATATTTGATCCAAATGTATCTGTCACGTTACGGAAGGAAATTATTGGAATTCGAAAATTCAGATCATCACAAGACTACGGAGAAATTTATGCTTATGTATTTACTTAATTTTTGTGATTCACTTTACAAGTGGCAGTCCTTTCAGAAGACAAACATAATAATTAAAGCCGGTTACTCAACTGCGTGCGACGGCAACGCGACGAAGAACGCACGCGAAGACGCGGACCCAACGGATCGTCTTTTTAATGAAGATCCGTCCAGATTGCCACTGAAAATCGCTCGCCGGAAGCAAATGTGGATTCGTCATGCGACGGTCGTACGACGCAGTGAGTGTCCGGCTTAACATGCTCTACATAAAGGTCTCATTAGGAGTCGTGGGAGTGGAGTTGTTTTCGATCGTGAGTAAAAATCCTGATCCGTGAGCAGACGAATCAGGGTGAATTGCTAGCTTCCCTGACGCAATCGGGAAGTCACCCGATACGTCTGCAACGCAGCCGTCAAAGTTGAACCAGGTTCAACTTTCCCAACAACTGTCGGCGACTGTCGCCAATAGTGGAAACCAAGCTTCATGGCCAGGAGCGTTCCCGATTGCGTCGGGCCACAGTGCAAGGATTGCAGTAAAAACGCTGGAGCGACTGTGTAGCGATTGTATTTAAAACAAGCTTTAAACAACATACTGTACATGGAGAACTTAAAACATTAATTTCGCTACACATTTTCTTTGCTTACTCTAGATAAACACACGACTCTTCGGTAAGCGTCTTTTTTGGTTGCCCACTAGCCCATGTAAACACGGCTGTTGCCATAACTTGCGGTGTGACGGGATCGACTGCTGGGAATTGGATTCGGCACTTGACAAACTCCGTCAGGTCTTGAATCGTGCCAACTTGCGTTGGCCCATCATATGCTATTCTGTGGATATAAATACCTTAATTTTTTGTGAATTGTCTTCGGAAGCTGTATATAAATTTGTTTTTTCATTTGAAAAATGTTATGTATCAATTAGATTTCTGATGTTTTAAGATATCTAATGAAAATCGAGTGTGCTAACCCGTAGTGTGTGCTATCGCTGTAAAATCTCAACGCATTATTTTGAGTTTTCCCACCACATTCTGGGTAATCTGTGAACTTAAAAAAAATAAAAGTAATTAAATAATCCGTTCTATATTATAGCGCTAACAACATATAGTATTATATAATATGATATGATATAATTATTATAAGATATGAATAATCATGATATAGAAAGTATATTATTTTCATTACATATTTACGTCGTTGATCCAGCCAGTATAATGGGTGAATATAGACATCCCCGTGTGTATAGACAAGACCACTGCCAGCCGTTGAACCGGTTGCCACAACAACCGTTTTACCATCCTTTGAAAGAATGTTAGAAAGAACTTTATCAACAATATATAACTATATCTTACTTCAGTTTATTATTTCTTACCAGTTAAGGTACTTATTTAATCTAAAAATAACAAACCTACTACGTTACATTTTGGATGGGGCATTTTATTTCCTTGTTAGGCCTATGCGAAGTAGGTTGATGACGTAGGTTTCTGGAATACTGTATACAGATTGTTCTTGAAAGACATTTCCGCTCCTTAGATATATTGTTGCTAGGTTTTGGAACCTTAAGCAAAAGTACGTAGACTTGCGTGTTTGTGGGACATGCGTGTATTATTGGCTTATTAGTAACACGTTCTGATTGGTCAGTTATTAAAATCAATACACACGCCGGAAAGGTCTGTTATAGCCTACTTGAAAGAATGAGGAGCTAATTGTAAATGATTTTTTCTGTTTATTTATGGTTAAGTTTTATGTTATAATATATCGCCTGTTACCCTTATTTTGTATTAATCAGTGTAACAACACATGGGCCAAGCGACAATATTAAATAATCCTTATTATAGACTTATATGATGCATTCGGAAGCTTCTTTTATTTTGAAGTCTCACCCGAATCATTTCTCTAGCAGTGGGCCAAATTCCATCGTACCGATCCCGCAGATCTGACGGCGTTAGCATGCGATTCCCGAGAAAATCTGCAAGTGCCTTGTTCATTTCCATATCATGGGTTTGATTAAACTTTTCCTGTAACGAAGCATTGGTGTTCAAACTTGTGATTACACAAACATTGTTTGCAGAACGGTTAACAGTATTATTATTATTATTATTATTATTATTATTATTATTATTATTATTATTATTATTATTATTATTATTATTATTATTACTAGCCGGTTAACAGTAATATTATTATTATTATTATTATTATTATTATTATTATTATTACTAGCCTGTTAATGATTACAGCTTTTCCATATGGGCCAGCAACCATCACCTAACAAAGATACGGTAATATTATTACACATTAAACAGAAAGTTTAATTTAATTTCCATGTATTATTTTTAGATTGTTTCTCTCAGTATTTGCCTGTCAAAATAAAATCGGTTTCACTAACGTTTATATAGATGCGCAGTATTTCATTTTCGTTTCCATCACGGGATAGCCATTGGTTTATTTCCTGGAGACCAAAACGCAGCAGACGGTGTCTTGGAAGACAGGAAAGAGCGACCTCTGACGATGAATGAGCCATTCTCATCTGTACATAGAACAATATTAGTAATATTCAGTGATACAGATATTTGCAGAGACAATATTCGAGTGTAAATAAGCTAGATTGGCGTATCCAGGGATGAACTGTCGTTTTCTCGCCATGCGATATTCGTTCCCTACCCCACACGTTATTGAAGTTGTGGTCATGAGTCCAAACCACACGCTGACCAATCTCGGCCGCCCATGCTTAGTACCATTCAGTGGCTCAAGCTATGTTTCAGCCCTAGTGTAAGCATTTCATGACGTTACGTATAGATATAGTAATTAAGTAGTTGAGTAACCCCTTACCTAGAAGTGGTTTTCGGGCCTTTTTTAAATTTTATGTTAAATGGAATCTTCTGAATTGGCACGTGGTTCCATACTTAATAGGTCTACATGGTTGCTTCGTTCAGTTGTGAGACGGATGTATAAATGGTTTCAAAATAGTGGCACTGAAGCTGCTAATTTTTTGTTGTTTTTTTTTTAAATTCTATTGGAATTTTCAATGTCAATTTTATACCTGAACTACAGATTAGAACAAGTTATCTGCTTATTATGTCACTGTGACTATATATTTTCCAATCAACTAAAAAAATGACATCGATTATAGGTCTAATGTTCATTTTTTTTTAATCATGAGGACCATGTATTTTGTTGATAATATTGAAATACTCATGTAATTGTAATGAAAACAAATGTCATAAAACAACATTTTAGAGCTTCACTTCCCTCTCAACTCACCGCATTGTAGCAGTACCAGTTATCGATCTCCAGGCCTCTAACGCCGAGGTTAAGCATATCAGTGAATGTAAACTCCTGGTTGGCCAGATTAGCACAAAATCGAGATTTATACGGCGGAGGCCACGTACAGCTATCATTTTCTGTTACAATACCAGAAAAAGGTGAAATTACGAAAAATACTTCTTTTACTGTTAGGTCTAAGTCTATTAATAGGTGGTCAGCAATTAAATAAAGAAGCTTTCCACGACGTACACAAAACGATGCTTAGTCCTACTTTTATTTTAATTTAAAGATTTTGTTTTTATTCTAAAGGCAAAAAAATATGGTTTAGGCATATATTTAACATGTAAATAATTTAGAAATGAAAACGAATTTGAAGGATTGTTTAATGGTAAGAACATTTTATTTTCTTGTTCTAACTGGAAGTTCATATTTACGGAAATCAGTATACAAAATTTAATTCATTTTTTTTTAATTTGTGTTATTTGTATTTTCAGGCGCACACACATTTTAATAATTATGCGCCAAGGATTAGAGATAGCGAATGTATCACTGTCCAACGAGAAGGTGACAATCCCTTGTAAATAATTTAGAAATGAAAACGAATTTGAAGGATTGTTTAATGGTAAGAACATATTTTAATAATTATGCGCCAAGGATTAGAGATAGCGAATGTATCACTGTCCAACGAGAAGGTGACAATCCCTTTTACAAGCAAACATAGCACACGATGTTCGAAGCCTGGTTTCCATAGAATCGCTACATAGTCGCTACGACGTTTTCACCGCAATCCTTACACACTGCTCAGCTGTCATCGAAGCAATCGAGAACTCTCCCTGATTCAACTGACCAATCAACCTCACAAAATGAGCTGGCGATAGCGTTTAGCGATTTTTATGGAAACCAAGCTTTACACATACTAAATCTCAATGTGGGGCATAGGGAGTGGAGTTGTTTTGGTCGTGAGAAAAATCCTACAACACTGACAGGAATTGAACCTAGGAACCTGGGATTGGAAAGCAAGCATCTTAACCACCAAGATTCAATTCCACTTATATATACAGTACTATAATCGATGACAGTGCATATTTAAGATAGCTGATTTTCTAACTTCAGGGGCGGATCCAGAAATGTTCTGATGGGGTGGGGGCCCAATAGGTAAACCACACCCACCTCAGCCCCGCCATGTTTGTGGCTGAGGTGAGCAAATTTTTAAAATAGGCCCCCTTGACGCTCGGAAATGGCACTCTCAGATGGTAAAAATGCTTTTTCAAAGAGACGAGAGCTATTCCCCCCTCTTTTAGATACCCCTCCACGCACGGGCGTCGCAAAGGTCTAATCAATGACCTATAGACTATTCTATACTGGGGAGTCGCAAAGCAAATTATGATTATGGCACCTCTAGAACCCGAAAATGGCACTCATTCAGACTCAAAATTTGAATAATTTATCTCAATTTTTCTTTTATTTTGACAAATGTAGGGTGGCCCTGACCGGCTGGGCACCCCAGCCCCACTGGATTAATATGTCATACAGTCGATTTCAGAAACACATTATGTTGTTATATATTAACAAAGCCCTTTTGGATCAAGGTGCTATAGAGCGAGAACCATGGACCCTCATGGATAGGGGCACCAAAGGGGCCCCTAAGGGTCGATGGCCCTGCGGACCGCCGCACGAGAGCGCAGGCGTTACACCACTGAGCATTGTTAGCTGTTTTATAGCTGGGTAGGCCTACTACATTCTGGCAAAAAACTCCGTCTTTAGGTCTCCGTCTTTTTGGCCTTTTTACATCCTAATTTGTGAAATCGTTGGGAAAATCGGTGTCGGGAATATAGCGTTGTGTTCGTCGTCAATAAATATAAAATTCAAAGTTAGTAAGTGGTCAAATAATCGAGCCCACTGCTGTATCCGCCACTGTACTAATGGGGACACTTCCCTTTTTCCCCTCTTTCTTTCTTCCCTTTATCTCTTCTCAATTTTTTTTCCGCGTGACTGGGGTGGGTACGCCCCCCACCCCCGATGAATCCGCCCCTGAACTTACTGAACAATAATATCGGAAGTTACGGTATATATTCTACCTCCATAGCCTGATGCTCTGTTATTGTACGCATTGTGTGCCTGAAATATAAATTAAAAACAGCTATCATCGTTTTGAATGTGCATTTACGAAGTTGTATTAAGCCGGGCACTCGCTCTGCGACCGACGCGGTAGATGGAGAACGCAACGACGCTTGCTACCGATCATTTTAATGGCGATCCGTTCAGACTGCCACCGACAATCAGACAGAGAGCGAAGTTCGATTCGTCGTACGACACAGTCAGTGCCCGACTTTACAATAGGTCTACATTTTATATATCAAATCAATAAATTCTACATGCACATCGATACCGATTAGAAACGTAACGTGTTTTTTTTTTTTTAATTGTAAAGACAATATTAGATCTCTGAATATATTTTACGACTGGATAATAAATACTAAATTTATGAATAAGGACAGCCTTACGTCAAATATTTGAAGGTGGTTTAGGTGATCATCTATCTGAAACAATAAATAAATAAATATTTCATTTAAAATATTTAAATCTAAGTAGAATGCAATTGAACTTGGCTAAAATTATAATTGCACTTAATATACGTTTTCTTTTTAGTAAAATGTATACATTTAAGTGAAAATTACTCTACTTAAGTAAAATGTATTTAAAGTAAAATACAGTAGATTTCAGTAATGTGGAGATTGAAACTCGTAAAAGATAGAATGGCTTGGCATGCACGCCACAAAACAGTTTAGTAAGAGGTGGTATAAGCACGAACTTATAGTTAATATGTCCATGGTATATAACAATATTGTTTTGTATAACTTGTGACATTAAATTATTTTATGGAGCAGTGTATGTTTTTGTCGACTTCGTGGGTATTTTACTTTCATTTTGGCTCCTTCCTAAACAATTCGAGCTCTCTCGCCAGCTCATCACTACTTGTACCGGTATTGGGATTACGGGGATGGGGGAGTGATGGTTGGCATCTAGCATTAGGCCAAGCCTATATTATAACCAAATAAACGCCAACCTGCTCTGACTTCCAGATATTATTGTGCTTGTGCAACACAACATATTTTTACTCGTAATGAAAACCAGCTGGTGCAGATGTAAATATTCCACCGATATTAACTCATCCTTTCTATATTATATAAAACTACAAGTTAGGTAAACTATTGTATTAAATAAAATAGAACACGTCATTCCAACCTGTATATCACGTTGAGTCTTTAGAGCAAACTCCATCCAAGGATCGACGGGAACGCTACCTTGCTTACAGTAACCGGCTTCATTGCACTGTTAATAAAATAATGCCGACTGTTGTGTCAAAAATCTCCAGATTCAAGACGCTTACAAAATGCATCCTGTAAATATTTTGTGGAATGGGTAATACAGTAATATCCGTAAAACCATGGTAAAGATGTGTATTGAATGATAAGGACAGTAACAATAATGAATATTATAGAAACACTGCTATAATTAGATGTGTAGATTGGAAAGGAGTACAAACAACAGTTTTAACTAATAGTTAAAATCAGTACTGTCTTAAAGAATCAGGGCTTCATTCAAAATGGATGACACTTCTCAGGGTTTAGTGTATTTTTTTAAATTTTTATGATGCTTTATTCTGTTTTCTGCATTTGTAATGTTCTTGATGTATTTTGTATTCATGTGGCTTTTAATTGCTGAAATAAAGATTTGATGAATGACAATGATGATGATGATGATAATGATGATGATGATGATAATGATGATGATGAGGAGGAGGAGGAGGAGGAGGAGGATGATGATGATGCTAACGAAGGTGATGATTGTCAAGTGGGGAAAATGTCATGGGAAAGGAGTCACGGGGGAAATAGCTGGTGAGCTATAAGACCCTTACCTCACATCCCACACTTTCGCTGATGCTATCTTTCTTGCAATTATAAGCGTTAGAAATCTGAAAAAAAGACGTGGCTTGACAAGTTAACAATAACATTGAAATCATTTTTGTTTCGATTAAAAAAAAAATTAAATTACACATTTATGCAATCAATGTAGAACGATAGATACAAGATTCCTTCAATTTGGGTCAAACTGGTCTCAGCTTGACCCTGATGAGACACAAATCATATTCACGAAATAAATAAATACGGTACATAAACTAAAATATAATTTAAATTAAGAACAAAAGTAAAAAATCAATAAATTTCAATTAATTAAAAGGTGTGATTGATACATTTCTAAATAATTTAATTTCATCTGTTTTCTAAATACTTTAACATTTGTACATATTTTTAATTTATCATCAATAATATTCCATAATTTGGGTTCTTAGAATGTAATAAAAATTGACTTTTTCTGGTTTTACAAAAGGAATTTAACATAGTGAAACATAAAAGAAGAAACTTGTTTCAGATAAAAAGAGTTTATGCGAACATGAGAAAACAAAAATAGATATAATATAAGCACTCACTGCGGCCGTCACTGATGCGATTCTATGAAGAACGCAACGCGACGGCGCGTGCTCAACGGATCGTTCAGGATGACGATCCGTTCAGACTGCCACCGACAGTAAGTAGACGGCGGCGTCGCGTCGTCTAGTGCTCACAGGGAGCCGAGTTGGATTCGTCGTGCGACGGTCTTACGGCGCAGTGAGTGTCCGAAAGTTAGTCTGACGTGGGGGGGCTGTCTCTTATACGGCCTAAGGCCTTTAACATAGGCCTGTATAGGCCTGTATTGTATGTTTGAGGGCCCAGTAATTATTAATCAGGAAGGTTGATTGGTTTACTCCCATTATATATAATATTAAATATTTCCAAATAATGATAACTAGTTTTATATCAATTTACGTACTATAAACTTCTGGTAATATATAATTTATCTTACCTCTTCAAATGATAAAAACACAGTGATTGCCGCCAACACACGTAATGATTTCATGGCTGTTAAGTAAAGCTACTCGTCGGTTCATTCCCTTTTTCACAAGTCGTAATAGTCGCGGACAGTGATACTCAAAAATAACTAAACAAATATTATTACCAAAGTTCGTTTATTTTCAATATCCGAGTTTCAATTATTAACTAGGTTTAATACAATCGTCGATAATGTACAAGGCGGACTCTGATCATATCCATATGAACTGTCATCGTATTATACTGTCCTTGTTATACCGTCATACGGTTCTTCCATCCAGTGGCGTAGGAGTACTGAAATGGGGCACTAATAGGTTGCAAAGGTGAAGTGGGAGGGCTAGATGGTTAAGTGAGGGGCGCTACCTTGCAGTATAATGTTATATGAGGTGATTTTTAACCTGAGCGTAATTTTTCCTCGGTATACGTACCCCCGCCCCAATCCCGCATACCCACAGATACGCTACGGTACTACTTCGATCCAATTTCATTCCAGTAAATTAAACTTTCTCCGTAAATATTAAATAACTCAATGGTTATCATGTGCATATGGGACTTAATGATTTCTTTCTTTTTCAGAGTTTACTTTACTAACGATTTCCTGATCTTCAATGGTAAACACTGCTTAAGCAGGGTAATATAAATGTTCGAAAAGACAAATGTTCATTCTTTAAACATTGGTATTTGACATGCAATCATAAAACAATCATAGGCCTAGATTCTTTATAATTTTAGTTAAATTAACCTAGAACGAGTTACAATAGAATTAAAATAATTTGATTAAAACACTTTTCTATGCAAATTACTGTACAAAATATTTATGATACAAAATCAACACGAATGTAATTAAAAAGGTCATAAAACAGCAGAACTTGTATACATTGCTTTAACAATTAAGCTCTGTATGACAAAAACACACGATATAGGCCTAGCATGGATAGTGTCGTGATGACCGACCCAAAGTGTAGGCTGGATCGGATTCAGAAAGCACACGAAAAAATATGAAAATTCAACCAATGGCTAAGCACCACAATTGACAAAATTGGTTTATATTTTATTCTTATATCGAAACTATTTTTGATGAATGTGGTATGAGCAATCTCTGGTTTGAGCAAGACAAATGTAATAAAACATGGATTGTTAACAGTTTTTATTTTAAGACTGGATAAAGCATAAATCACATGACATAAATACTAATACATATAATCGAAATAAACACGTCCGATAGAATAAACCAGTGTAGATTTCATTGTGAGAACCAAAGTTACCTATTTCTGAGGGTTTGATACTCACCGCCGGAAGAACCAAGCAAACTGTACTCTTTGGGATAACTCACTATAACAGCTCCCTGGTAATACAAAAGACGTAGTGACGAATTTTAAATTGTTTTAAAATTTCCTGCTTTAAATAGGCCTATAACAATACTTTTATATTCGCCAGAATGTTTTACGATTTCAGCAGTTATTACGTAATTAATCTGCTTGCTCAACTTGTTAAAGAAATGATTTGTAAACAACCATCATATTTGCTACATTTTTTACGACATATTCTCCAACTCGTTGACTTCGTTCTTCCTATAAATTTCTTCAAGCCCCATCAAAAAGAAAAAGAAAATAACATACGCACAACGTTCTTTCTCTGTTCAGGCACCTTTTCTTTCGAATCTTCTACTTTCTGTTCGATCTTCAAATTTAAACTCATTTAAAACTAATTTGCAAACCTTTTTGTTTACAAAATCGCTTTAATTTGGGTTCAGTGTTCTCTGCGCCTTTGATAATGTTTTTGAATTGGTGCGTTATAAATTTCTGCTTATTATTATTATTATTATTATTATTATTATCATCATCATCATCATAATCATCATCTGATCATCATCATCATCCGATCATCATCGCCACCGCGTAACTTCCCCTATCTCCTCTGAAACCGCTGGCAGGAATGTGCTCCTATCTCATATGCTGGGCTTCTATATGTCACTACCACATTCCGCTACTTTTTAAGGCTGGATATTGGATAACAACGAAAAAACAGCCAAAAACCACCGAAAATCAGTACCTGTTTCGCCATGTTTCGCAAGTTGCTTAAGTCACGCAAATACAATTAATCACATCTATTCTGTACTGCAATGCTTAGGTCTAAAAATTTCGAGTCAGGCCGTAAATTTATTACGTCACTGAACAGTACTTCTCGATCTCACGTTCGTCAACAAAATGGGTGACAAGTATGTTCCCGATGTACCACCTCTTCGGAGTACCCATTGCATTATACTGGATTTGTACTTTTATGGCACAAAACATGTTTTAGAAGTCGATCAGGTAAAAATAAAGATACTGTACACCTTCTGGGCACAAAGGCATGATATAACATCGGCTTAACCATACCGGCTAGCCCTGCCTAGGCCTAGCCTTAGGCTCTGTCCCAGGCCTAGACGCGGCCTACCCTAGGCTATGATGTCGAACATAGAGAGGCCTAGACCTAGGGGTCTAGGCTCGGGTGTAGTTAGCATTCATAGGGCCTATCCTCTATCCATCGAATCCGGGTCGATTTGGATAGTGCATTAAGATAGACTATAGGGTCAAGACAGCTCCACCAATCAACAACAATACATTGACCATTAATAGGTCCATGCCTTGACATAAACATGTCGGGACAATGTTTAGGGTTATTTTGTATGTCAGTAGTTCGGAAAAGCCTTACATGCATCCACCTTGATTCAAGACAAAATCTTCTCTCATAATGCCCAACTATAGGCAAGGCCTACTGTAAATTTCTGTACTTTCACTTACAAGAGGATAGCCCAAAGCAACATGGGAAGATCCAGTAGGGGAAAGGGACGTCACTGGGAAGGGCTCCTGCCCTGTTTTTCCACAAATTGTTTTTAAATTTCAATGCAATATATGTGCTATTCGCTTATTCAATTATTCTGAAACTGTAGAAATACAGAAATAATTTTGCCGCTACTTGCCAGAGTTTTTTGTTTCGTTGATGCAGACAAATATGGGTCATATAGAATGACTAGGAAATAGGTGGGATATCGAAATTCCAAAAAGAGTAAATGTTATAAAGATATCCTGTTTTCTTTCCTCTATTTGTTATGTAAACCCAGATTTAATCTTTTTAAACGTTTCTACAATGTGTCTTTAGGCTTCATTATTAGGCCTATACTGTATTGCGAATGCACAAGAGTCGATTAGTCAAATTATTGATTGAATAACGCTTTGTGTCATCGGCACACTTTATAGTGCAACCTTACAACAACTATAGACAATGATTAGTTGATATAGAAAAAAACAAAAAATAATACGTTCTCTGTCTTATAGAGTATAATGAACATAACCTGATGGAAAAAAATCAAGAGAAAACTAGCAGGAAAAATGCATCGAAAAAATGGGGGAAATAGCCGGGGGTGGGGTAATAACTCTCTAGGTAGACACAATCCGTGGGGAAAATTAGCAGGTGGCAAGTAGCCACCACCATAGCTATTTTCTGTAAAGTAAAGCCTCAAACCACCTCAATTTTGAGTCTACTAAATTATCAAATCTTCCAAGGCTTTTCCAGATATGCTAGAACTAACCCTTGACCCGATTCAAAGACAAGCTTACGTAAAAACCTAACATCTACATTTTCATCTTCTATACAATAGGAGCCATGTTCACTCCCAAAGTACAGAAATTTTTCTTGGATAAAATTAAATCAAAAACAAATTCTTTTTTATTTAAAATAATTATTTAACATTAATTAAGAAACATTAGAAAATTAAAGTCTTTAGGGCGGGGCCATTGACAAGTGTCATAATCTACCAAAAGTCAATGTACCGACATGTATTATTGTTCATTTTCATTACATCATTAATGATGATAAAATAATCAATATCAAGTAAATTATGTTTTATCTTAAAGTGTACATAACATTAATGATATTAATACTTGTAAGTTGTATAACTATAATATTATTATTAATATGCCTATTGATAAACATGTAAGTCTATATTTAGATTGAATGTATATTATATATTCTATAGCAAATGTATGAAGGAATATATATAATTATTTTTGATTCCAATTGGGTGTAGCTATACACTACAAAACATTTTCGGTCTTGCATTCAGAGACCTACAATATAAGTTATTTCGCTAGGCCTAAATGAAATGCAAGAAATATGATAAACCTACCACCATAGGCCTACCCTTCGGCCCTTGTGATAAACGCATTGTGAGCCTACAGAAAACAGAATCGGTTAGAAATAGAAATAATGGTTAATTAAGATACTGTCCGTAGGTTAAAACCCTGCAAGAACAGGATATATTTATCATAATATAAAACAGCTCCGCTTCTTAATCTTTATAATAAATACACTTGTATCCTGTAAATGGCAGGTCATTCACTGGTAAATTATAATGAAATAAACAGAGTGGAGTTTTTTCATTGAGAAACGTTAAATAGCTTTAACAATTTGGACACGTTGCAATTATAGCAGTTGTACTCCATAAAGTAGGCTAGCTGTATAATCAAACAAGGTGCAAATATTACAAATGGTAATGCTAACACTATCACATTTCAACATCAAATGAGATTACGACTGACATAAATGGATTTGTTTATCTCTACTACAAAATTACTATCACGATAGAAACATTACACTAATAAACATGGTGTAATCAATATATTACAGAAATTGGTTAATGTTCTTATAATACAGATACTTCGTTCTAATCAGTTTTATACTTAAGGTACTGTACAACAAATAGCTCATCAATCTGAAGAAGGTGACAATATTAAAAAGGCTCCCAGCGGGAGCGTGTGTCTATGATCTACTACTGTATTATGTTTACTAATAAAGTAACCACATGGAATTCGGTTATCAGAAATTGTGTGGCGTTGCATTTTTGTATGACCTTTGTACAGTAATAAGGTACTTAAGATGGCACATGACCCATCATGCACCTCCACCGGATTCACCCTTCCAGCCATCGTTAACTACCAGACGAGACGACAACATAATGTCTACTGTATAGCGCCCCCGAAAAAATAAATAAATAAATAAAATAAGAGATGATAACACCGTATACAAAATCAGGATAGAAAAATATAACAGCAGAGGAATGTCCTCTAGTAGATCATGTACTGTATTCGTCTCTAACTCTTGTAAAGTAAACCCACCCACATCGTTTCTCGTAAATTTACTCGAAGTTTAGCCTGTAAATATCACGTATACCAATATACATCCTTTTCGTAGACCTAAACTAAATTGCCATATACACTTGTGTTTTGGTTATTTATTTCGTTCTGGGTGTAATCTAATTTTTTCTGTACGTCAACAACAGAGATATAGCATTCAACTAGGTGTGGATAATAACTTAGTAGTTAAGATGATTGCCTTTTAATCCCAGGATCCTGGATTCAATTCCCGTAACAGCAGGACTTTTTCTCATACTAAAAATAAATCCACTCCTAGCTCCCTAAGCTTCATAAGCAGACTTGGCTGAAAAGCTTTACGTTATTTAAATTTATTTTAAGAGAGAGACTGAATATCTCATCAGCCGACATTTAGGACACGCTGGAAAGGTCATCCTCTATAAATATGGTTTAAAAAATACAAGTGTGTAATATTATGTCCCGAATTAAAATGAACTGCAATAGGCCTATCTTTGTTGTTGTGACGAATATCAAATTTATGACCATTCATCCGTTGTCTGACAGTTTGGCAAGTTCTCCTATGTAAATAGTACCAGGACATTCAGTGCATGTAATGGCATAGATGTCGTTAGATGAAAAACATGAAAATGATCCACTGATGTTGTAAGTAACTTACTTGATTAGGCCCTGTAATGGTACTGCTAGTGTTGATATGTGGGCAAAGTTGGCATTTCTGTTGGTTACATGGAATGGTGCCCTTAGTGGTGGGGGTGTGGGGTACTTTGTTAGAAGTAAGATGTTGTTTGAGGTTGGGTGGTGAAGAAGAATTAACACTTTTTTAATTCAAGTGACAAGCTGTTGAGACTGGTGACTTAGGCCAAAGAAAATTGTGTTGGCCACGTTTTGGGAAAATCCAAAGTAGATCGGTAGGAAAAAATTTTTTAAACCAATAATGTGTCTGCCTAAAATGTAGAAAATACACACAAATACAACAAAGACCATTTTAAAATCTATATTGAAAAGCAAAACGATCGCATAACATTGTCGTATGGCCTTATTTTCTACCTTTTCTCAGGACTCTCAACTGAGTGTTTCGTTTATTCTTCATTTGTTAATAGGCCTGCAGTTTTTTCAAGCAATTGCTCAATTTAATTCAGCCAGATCAGTAGATAATATAAAGTTATGGATTATTGTTTTATTCCTGGTTTTGGCCGCTATAATTTACTCCACAACTAGAAAAAGAAAATGAATAATGCTATGGTCATAACTACATTTTTTAGTATTTCCGACTTAAATGTGGCAAGAGGAGCCGCTGAACCAGGACTGTCCTGTGGCAACCAGGGGCTGTAGTCAATCCACACCTCATTGTCTTGGGATGTCAGTAATTCAAGAATCTACAAGACATAAACAAATCGATTTGTAGGCCATGATAAATATCACTTTTTTGTCATAAACCCAATAAGTCGGTAGAAATTTATAGTAATAGGCCTAATAAAGCAATTTACCCAGCCTGAAGAAACTTAAATCTTTCTTCATTAATTCTTCATTCTCCATTAGTGGTGTCAACTGCCTCAAACCTACAATTTACAATAACAGGGCTTCCAGCTTCAGATTTACCTTTTCTTGTTGGAATCCGTTTTTGGGAATACTGTACGTGTATCCAGTCTTGCATTCCTTGTTTCCAAACGCCCCACTTTTCCTCCCTAGCAACCAGATATCTTGATCAGTAGTACTTTGGCAAGCAATCGACAACTTTTGTTCACAATTGTTTGTAGCATGCCATCGTCTGGTGGATAGGCTGAAATTTAAACGAGAGAAAATTACAATTTGAAGAACTTCATCTTGCTCGCTATGCTACATTTCCCTCTTGGTTTATCGGACTTTACCTGATAAACACACATGATTGTTGCGTGAGTTCGATACTAGGCTCACCTTCGTCCCATGTGTAGACCCCGGTGCGCATAAAGTCTGGGTTGATCATATCGCCAGCAGGGAATTGAACACCGCAACGCACATGATCTGTTAGATTAAAGAGAACACCTGTGGACCGTGGACCATTGTAGAAAGGCCTGCAAGACAAAAGGATATTGTTGTAAATTTGTAACTATAGCATACAAATGTGTGTATAAACATATGTTATGTTATGCTTTATAACCGCAAGGAAGAAGCGCATTATAAATGCCCGTACCAGTACTAGTCAGAGGTTGATGTGTAATCAAAACTGTATTCTATAGAAGATAACAATAAGTTAACTGTAAACGACATAGGCAAGTTACAATATACAGGTCCCTCCAAGTAAAGTCCACGTCCGGGGACAAGGTTTTAGTGGTCTTTAGCAGCTTTGGTCCCTAATTAGAATACCTCTGGTTAAAAACCGGCAATAAAAATGCTCTTTAAATATCTCTGTTTAGAGGGAAATTAAGAAATTATATAGTACATGTAAGATTGATTTATTCCAAGTATTTTTAAAATAAATGTACCAGTTAGTGTATGCTGTCATTGTCCTGCGCTCGTACTACCCAAATCACCATTAAAATATTACTAACAACACCGTCTTACTAATTCAATATAGAGCGGAGTATGTACAAACATCATCTTATGTTGCGTATTATTTCGATGTATATTTATCTATCATCATATATTTTTTTAAACTGCACAAAGATCACTATATATTTATTGAAGGGAACATTTTAAGTTGGGTCTGCCAAAACCATGATAGGCCTATTAGGTCTATACCATGGAGGAATTAGTTTAGTAATTTCTCCATGATTAGGCCCATAAAAAAATTATCAGTTTATCACCCTATCAAAGAATAAAACCTGATGAGGGAGGGAGGCTTTTTTTCCCCTTTTTTTTTGGCTAATCCTGCCCCAATTTTACCGATGATCACAAGTAAATCAATGGTTAGGGACACATATATAAAAAGTTATAAGAATGGAATCAAATTTATATTTAAAAAATATGTTTTTGTTGTACCAGTAAGCATATTTGCAAGAAATCCTGAGCTTTCCAAGTAAAAAAAGATGGAAAAAGGACCGTTTGAAATAAAAATATATGTTTATTGAAAAAAAAAATCAAAAAAAAAAACTGATTTTTCCTAAAAGTGATGAGGGAGCGGGTGATAAACGAATAATTTTTTTTATGGGGCCTTATACATTACTTTATGTTTGAATGTGTTTAAAATAGATTACTGCATGCTGTTGATCCATGACTGAATGATTGATTCATTATAAATCATTTATCGGTAGCCAGTTCTGTGCACGTCTTACCCAGATGTCCATTTAGAAAAATACAAACTTCAATGTCCTACTAATTGAATAAGGAGCACTGTATACACAGAGCATTGTCTGCAGTCTGAAATTGTCAGTTGGTCTGCCAAATTCATGGTCTTTGGTGTCTAATAAGTCCCAAGTTGAAAGAATTCACATCCGGGAGATCTATTTAAATGAGTTTTCTTAAGCATATAATATTTTTGCTGTGCAATGCACAAAAAAAAAGTTCATTTGTACTTTTTGTGCTTTTATTTTCGAGATGAAATAAAGTTTATATATATAACCATTGTGATTGGCTGGGAGACAATTGATAATACAACAGTAAAAACTTGTAAAAGCATGCAAATGTCATCATGAATTTGTGGGAGATGGCTTATTTCGGGAGATTCGTGCTTGCTCGAGGAAGACTCCATTCCGGAACTCTGCAGGAGATTTGGGACTCTTGGGATCTAAATGTGGTCTTTAGATTTCTCTATTTACAGGGAGATTAAAAAATATACATGAAATGTTTTGAAATGTATGTACAGTTACTGCATGCTGTCATTTATTCTTAATAAAACATTCCATGGTGCTAGACATGAACTTATCTTCCATTAAAATGTTACTATTATTAACTAACTTACCGTTATTCAATATTCACAAAACATTGCATCACCATAGAAACGCAACGCAGTATTGGCGGTTCGTCCATTGCAATTAGGATAACCATCAAACTATTATTTTGAGAGAAGAAATAATGAATTTTTAAAAAGTAATCAACCATTCATATATGATTTTGAAAATTTTACATTTCATCAAAAATATAGTTTGTCACCATACGTTTTTAGTACGATATATAATATCAAAAATGTTTTTTTAGATCCAACTACCTGTATTTCACCATTTATATACTGATTCTCGCATCCATAGTTGTAAACATATACTATTGTAAAGAGCGAGTGTCTATTTTGCGATGATGAGGAGCAATGGCGTCATTTACGCAGTGGCGTAGGGATGGACAGTGCAGCTAATGCAAAGCACTGGGGGCCAGGGGATCCAACGGGCCCGTTCAATAATATACCGGTACCTAAAATATAATGTTATGTTGCATCGTATGTATTTTGTATAACTTTAATTAAATTAGAAGTGCACAGTACATAAATAATTCATGTAAAACTGTCAAGTATGCATAACGATTTCAGATTTCTTTACATGGTCACCATATTAAATATTTGTAATAGCAGAATATTCATGAAAAAAAAATAATTGAATTGAAATTGGGTGGCCAATGTTGATAAGCTGGAATGGATCACCACAATAGGAGATGATCGGTTAAAAAAAATCGGGAAGCACTTCGTAAGATAAACTTTCCGAAAACAATCTGTGGTCCTTTACAGTTCCCCGTCTAGGGCTCCAGTCATAGGCCTGACGGCTTTTTAAATGAAAGGGCCAGGTAATTATCCTTGCACTGGAGGCGTCACTTGCCGAAATGCGCTTACTTCGTTAGTTTTTATATCCTGATCATAAAAAGTAGGCTATGCCTAAACGAGCAAACACTAGTACGATATTTGGAATATTAGATCTATACAAGGTTACTTTATATTTCCATACTTACGTTTCTTACACTTCGATCGCTCCAGTATATGGGATGAAAGTATATACCCCCGTGCATAAAATCAGAATTTGAATTCGTAATAACAACAGTTTTTCCTGTCTGTAAAGAAAGTTGTAATAAACATTATGACTAGTTAAGCAACGATACGAAATTAGAGGTACAAAATAGCAGCAAAAAGGCCAACTCAGACATTGTCGTACGACGTAGCCCGACGCGATTCATCGTCGGGGACTTCATAGTTCGGCGTGGGTGAACGCCAGTGGTGTATGTTAAGGGTTTCCATTTAAGGGTTTCCATACAATGCTACACGCTAATGCTAACAGCTTTCAGTGATGCTGAAAGCAGGGAGCATTCCCGATAATTGCGTCGCAGTACAACGATTGCACTGAATACACTGAAGCGACAGTGTAGGTCCCTGATTTAACTGACCAATATTAGCGTCGCCAAAGTAGTCGGGTGATAGTTATGAAACAAAATTAAACCGTCGTGAGTATTAAACATGTTTAATATTCTACGACGCGACAATCCCCGACACAAACCATCACGTCTGCGTTTAACTCAATCTCGGTTTCCATAGAATCGCTCACCCTATCGGCGACAGTCGATAGGAACCTCAGGAAGGTTGAACCTGGTTCAACTTTGCCAATTAACGAATCAGGGTGGGCCTACATTGCTAACTGCCATGACGCAATCGGAAAGGCACCTCTATTCGTCTACAACGTAATCGGCAAGGTTGAACCAGGTCACCGATAGGGTGAGCGTTCTATGGAAACCGAACTTTACACGGACCGGACGCGACAACAAACACGCAAAGATCGTACGCGGCGGATACCCACGCGGCGCTATTTACACGATCTTTTGTTACTTTTTCGCCAGTGACGTCATGGTAAAATCGTATATAATCGTCTATAACTTCATTAAAAAAAAGCCAAAAAACGATTTTAAGGTTGATTCTATTATTAATGGCTTATCAAAAATCCTCTCTAGAACAAAAAAATCATTTTGCTAGTTCTCTTTTAATAAGTCTTTACCTCTCTCATCCTACGCATTGTTGGCCATTTTCCTTTGAATTCATCTTTCAAGTCGTTGGGCGTTAGAACTCGATCTCCAAGGTAGTTTTTGATTGGTCCGTTCACCATGTCATCGTGTGATTGGTTATATTTTTCCTGAGACAGGATTACTAAATTATTAATGCTTTTTATTTGCAAGAGATTTTGGTCTATTCTGGTTAATTAAGATTACACAATATTTTAGGACAATATTCGTAGAAAGGTCGTCGTAAGGGTTCTATGCCTATATACAAAGATACAGATTACGTTAGGAAATACAATATAAATTTTATCTCCTTATTTTCTGTTGTTGATTTCTTATTCCCGATTGGTTGAACGAGTACTTGTAACTGCTCGTAATTGCTCTTCCACCGTTTTTATTCATCACTTCTAGAAATTTCGGCATAAGTGATTTCAGCAAGCCTATGTAGATCCTGGAACACGATGGCACCGTTCGTGGCTAGATAGTTATCATAGACGAACCGATCACTTTCAACGTCCTATCCAAAACCTTGTTAATACGGTCTCTATTAGCTATAACCAAAATTATCCCCAAACAGAAAACATAACTGAGGAGTAAAACATTACCGTATACAAATAGCCTGATTTACACCAAACGAACCGAGTTTCCTTAGACAAAATAATAATATACCAATAAACTTTATTGCAATCACACGATAAAATATGATTGATGATGAGTTTTTCACAATATAATTAAGATAGGCCTATATTACAACGTCAAATCAAGACAAGAAAAACAGGGATATTCACAACAACAAAAACCAGAACAGAATAAAGGGAAGGATACGGATGTTCGACTGCACAAGAAAAGCTTACTAATTTTTGAAACAAACCATGATCCGAGACAACTATATAGTTGTCAAAGTCATGAATAATTATAAATATTTTTTGGGGGATTAAAAATTGACGGGGTCGTATAAAATTATACTTAGCAGGATGAGCTGCACGTCATAAAAGATTTAATCTGTGATTAGAGTCCTTGTTTTTGGTGAAGGATTCCTTACACTGTTAAAACCGACACTCTTCTAAACTTGAAATTCCAAGCAAAGACCGCGGTCCATCATAAGCCATACCAGGAAAGATACAATTAAGCGCTCTTCTTTGCATCTGTTCCAATAGTTGACTTTCCTGCTTATAGTAATATTGGAAGCCCAAACTGGAACGGCATATTCCAGTATGGGTATAATGATACTGATATACATCCACATGGTCCATTTATAAAATGCTTATAACAGAAAACACCACTTCCAAGTTCCTGAATGGGTCAACAATCTTATCCAATAATCTGTACTTCATTTGTGATAAATTTGTTACTTTTCCTGAAATCCGGATTTCCTAGTCTTGATGACGTTTAACTCAAGAATGTATATGAACTGATGTTATGTAGCTCGATCTTCGTCCGGCCCTCCAGACTTTCTCGAGATTTGTTTGGCAAACTTTGTTGATACTTCTACTTTATATTTTTAAAGTCTATCAGATTGGCCTCTCCATTGTGTGCATTTTTTTTAGATGGACTTCTTTCTAAAATACATATATTTGATAATACTTATTAATAAATTGCAAAATAATAGTTTAATACATCACTCAATGACGGGAGCTACAGCATATTGTTGCACAGTGTTGTTGTTGTAATGATAACAGTCAAAAGGTAACTGTAACTGAAGACTCAATACAAACAACTATCATAATTCGTACTTACGTTGATGTATAGGCGAAGAATTTCATTCTCATTGCCGGGTACATCAAACCAATCACCGATCTCCTTTAAGCCATCTCGGAATAGTCGATTTGTTGGCAGACATACTAATGAATACTCCAAATTAAGATGAGCCATTCTCATCTAGCTTGGCCAAAAAAAAACAAAAAAAAAAAACTACACAAGTTGATGAATAAATTTAAATTTTAGTACTTATTCACTTCACATAATAATCATCAAAGCCCATTGGACATTATTTCGCATACAGTTTTACTATAACCAATGCGCAATGATGTTTTAATAATAAATAATTCTTGCAATAATTCTTGTAACCGTATATTGTTTACCTCATCATAGCACCACCAAATATCTATCTCAAGTCCACGTACACCCATGTTCAGCAGGTCAGTGAATGCAAATTCTTGATTGGCTACACCCACGCACAGTGGATCGTAGGGAGGGGGCCATTGACAAGTATCATAATCTATAAAAAATAAAATTTACCATTGTGAAATATTATTTGTTTCATTACTCTATGGTACCACCATTGATTATAACAATTTATTCAGAAATAATAAACGATACAAAAGTTTAAAAAAAAATCATAATCGTTTGCATTCGCTATTAAGGGAACTTTGTGCTAAGCCCCGCACCTTGGATATTGGTACTAACGTTCCACAAAATGACAGCGTCAAAACCATAGAGTTACAATAAGAAAGTTGTTTTTGGGGGGGGGCACACGTAAGTTCGTGGGACAAACGCGTATTCTTAGCGATGTGCTGATTGGTCAGTTCCTTTTAGTGCGAAGCAAGCAAATATGGACTGCTGTAGGAATTGAACTAGCAACTTTGCCAAATCAACAGATTTACGCTGAAGTTACTCAGGCGGCCCGTACAGAAACACATCATATCCGGAAGAGTTTCAGTTTCACTTTAAGCATGGAGGAATTAGTTTATGCTTTAAGTAAACATCTGTGACGGACATCATTAGAGAAAATGATACAGTTTTAAATGTAAGCCTAATATCTTTTAGTGTCCATTGTTGAGCGTAAATGAGAATTCTTTATCTAATGGCAAATTAGAATTAAGTCATCCATAGGGTCATTTAGGTGAAACAATATTTAACATATTGCATATTAATGTTGCTATTCTATGCTTTAAGTTATTATTCGTGCTGTGCATGGATCGTTATCCGAGTCCGTTTTGAAAAAGGCTAACAACTTTGATTGTTTGAAAACATCAGTTCATATACACAATACTGTCAGCTATCTAGGTCTACGCTACAAAAAAATGTTTCAGATATGCAAATATAGACGTAATGCAACACACGAAGATATTATGGTTGAAAAAACTTACCAGCATACCCGTCAGCCCTGCTGTTAAATGCGTTGTGAGCCTAGAAAAAAGATGAGTTTTTATTTGCTAAGTACGTAGTAGCTTAATCCAGAATTTCTAGGTTCAAACCTTACTACATCACAATTTGGTTTTTTATGGCCTTATATCATCGGCCGACGCGAATCCATAGAGAACACAACGGAGACGAGGTGCGCGTAATTAATCGTTTTTAATGACGATCCGTTCAGATTGCCACCGACAGTCAGCAGACGATGTCGCGTTGTTTGCAGCGATTGATTAGCCGGTCGGAGTGCCAGTGACGTGTCTGGGGCTTCACCACCCCCCCCCCCTAAAAAAAAAGGCTCACGCTCCAGACTTGAAAAATGCGTCGAAAAAAATATATTCAAATTAAAGTTAAAGTGTGCAATTTCCTGCATTCTATAGAGGCGCATATCCGTTAAATTTCGTACCTCAGCCCCACGGTGGGCTGAGTTTAATGTGTAAAAGGCCTTTGCTAGGCCCCTCTATTTTGAATTCCTGAAAAGGCCACTGGCTATTGGAAAGCAAATGGTAATGACAACATTAAACTATTGCAATTCAATGTCAAAGAGATTAATGGGATTTAAAACGGACTTGTATGGAAGTGATAATCATGTTTGTAACACAATAGAAACATTACCCTAATACAAATGGCATAAACAAACAGAGTTGTACAGATTATTTTTATAACAGCAGAGACATTATTCTAAATTATATACTTTCCGAATACAGTATTAGAATTTCTAATATCCGGAAAGCATCACTATTACCACAAGTGATACTTACATCAAATAGCTGAAGCATCTCTAACGGCTCATCAATCTTATGAAAGCGACGTGAAAACAAAAACAAGAGAGAGTGAAGAGAAAATAATAACAGAAGACAAATACAAAACCCACTTATAATAATTAAGAAAACATCATCTACTGATATACAGTATACCGTAGCTATTATAAGGCCCCATAACAAAAAATATTAGTTTATCACCCTATCAAAGAATAAAAACTGATGAGTGAGGGAGGTTTTTTTTTTTTTTTTTTTTTTTTGCTAACCCCGCCGCCATTTTACCGATGTTCACAAGTAAATCAATGGTTAGGGACACATATAGAAAAAGTCATAAGAATGGAATCAAATTTATATTTAAAAAATATGTTTTTTGTACCAGTAAACATATATTTCCAAGAAATCCTGAGCTTTTCAAGTGAAAAAAGATGGAAAAAGGACCGTTTGAAATAAAAATACATGTTGATTGAAAAAAAAAACAAAAAATAAAAAACAGATTTTCCCCACAAAAGTGATGAGGGAGGGGGTGATAAACTAATAAAAAAATTTTATGGCGCCTAATAGAGCGATCTTTTAGTATGATTTTCAGATTCAATCTGTACCTGCAGATGAAGCGAGTTAATGCTGTCACGTTTTACGTAGTCCATTGTTCAGCTGTAATGGTAATTAGGTGTCTGTAAAACAATATGTTAGGCTAACTATGCTACTGTCAGTACGAAATCAAGGAGAAACCCCGGAAAAACTTCAGAGATCCTACCGCATCAAATGAAGTCAGGTGTGAGAACCTGGTTTGGCTTAGCCTAGATTTTGCAGAGGATTCCAAAAGATCTGTATCGTGGACACTCGTTGAATTCCCAAGTTTTGTAACGATGTTTATAATCGGTATTCTGGTAGTACGCTAAATTTCGTTTATCTTGAAAATACAGAGAAAGTGAGTGTTGAAGAACGGGTAAACGTGAAAGGCGTTACACTCTCACTCAAATTGACTTTATATAAATTAGTTTTAAGCATTACAGCAAGACGGTTTAGAGTTTATCTAGTTACCAACCGAACCACAAGAATTCATTGAGGAATATAATTATACAACGCTCTACAACTTAAGGGATTTGGTAAAAATGTTAACACGATTATCAAATTGATATTGAATTAGATCGCCGAGCAAATAAAAGATGTGTATAAGAGACAGACCTGTATCTCTCTTTGAGTCTTGAGAGCGAAGGTTAGCCAAGGATCGATTGGGACTGATCCCGATATACAGTGCCCGCCCACTCTGCACGTGATTGTAACGTTGGTACTGTTGAAGTAACCAGGCTCAAACGGAAAAGTATCATCTAGACAGGGACCACGTTCTGAACACTAATATAAGTCACAACAAAACACCTAATTTTTTAAATCGTAAAAATAATAGTATTTGATTTATTGATATCTTGTAATATTCATAAGCCTATATTTTGAGATTTCCAGGCAAGAGGTGCCTCTCTATTTTCTAATAACAATGATTTTACATATACCCACTAAATGATGATCAGACCTAATTTCATGTTTCGATACCACTTATACAAACATGAATGTATATAATGTTACAATGGTGGTCGGTGTCACAGCATTTCCTCATCTACCCCCTCCAATGAATTCGGACTCTCCCGGTCAAAATCTTTAAACGGGAAGCCGAATTCCCCAATGAATTCTTTTACCGGAAGCCAAATTTCGGGCGGTCGAAATGCATGTAACACGTGGGTCTCGTACCTGACTGCACCCAGTCTTGGCGCTGATCGGATCACATGGTCCTAGAGGCGTTGGTGATGCCGAAATCGTATTCATTCCGCCGATGAACCATAACTGTAGGAACCAAATTCGAATCACATTAAGCAATATAACATACAAAATTAGGCCATTTGGATTAGTCCTCAATTTAATTGAATTCAATTCAAATAAACATTAAATTTCTTTCAAAAAGAATACCATAAATTATATACAGTAAGATAAGGTACAAAATCAATAAGCATATATTAAATATAACAATTAAAATTAGTATAAAGGATGGACCTAACACTAATCAGTTAGAGATATAACAAGGTACACTAAACATGTTATAAACTTCAATTATTTCTCATTTTTGAATAATAAATTAAAACATTTCATTTATTTTTATTAACTTTAAAGACAAGACAACTAACTATATATATATATACATTATTTTAAAAAATGAGGTAAACAAGGTGAAAGTAAATATATTATAATGTTAACCGAAAGTTTATTAGCTGAAAAATAATCAAGAACAGATTAAAGTTCGTTAGCAACATTAAATAGTGTATTAATATTCTTATGTGAAAATAGAATTGTGGTATCGTCAGCATATAAGAAAATTAAGAGGATCGAAGAATTATACAAATCGTTTATGTAAAGGATAAATAACAGAGGGCCAAGGAGGTATCCTTGCGAAACTCCACACATGAAATGAAGTGGAAGTCGGAGGTGGTGTTAGCAAATTTAGTACATTGTGTATAGGTAAAAAGATAACTTTTGAATAAATCAAGTGCATTGTCTCTAATACCATAATGAAAAAACTTTGTAATCACAAAATATTGTGATGTATAGTATCAAATGCCTTTGGTAAATCAATCATTACACCCATTGATAACTCTTTATTTTCAAAAGCATGAAGGATATTGTCGGTAAGGATAAGCACCATAGAAGTGGAATAGCTTTTCTAAATCCAAATTGATGCCGAAATAACACATTATGTTTTGGGATAAAAGAATAAGTCCGGTCATAAAAATATATACGTTCGAGTATATTAGAAAATATAGAAAGAATAAATATTGTTGATTTCTGAAGGATCTCCGGATTTAAAAACAGGCACAAGAAATGGAAGAATTGACAACATGGCAGAGGGGTTTAGAAATTAGATATGCAACTTGTTTAATTACAAACGTATTAAACCCTTCTAAACCAGGAGCTTTATTGTTGCTAAGGAAGGAGTAGCATCACAAAAAATACCTCCAACTAAAGTTTACATGGTTAAATTTGTTAGTATGAATATGATCTGTGAGAGTTGCATGTGTATCAGTGATTTTGGTGGGTCTATGGATAAGGGATAGAAAGTGTTACTAAAAAGGGATTTGGTAAAAATGTTAACACGATTATCAAATTGATATTGAATTAGATCGCCGAGCAAATAAACCGATTTATTTTCATCATTATGTATGGTTAAAATACCGTCAAAAACCTCATTAAAAGTGTTGAAATCAAGACTATAAATACAGCCAATAATTATGCAAATACAGGTTTATATTATTTTTGAAATGCAAAAGCAACAAGAACAACACAAATTATGCAAGTGTGTAGAATATCAAAAGGGCGATTGATACTAATAATAATATTTATTATCATAACAATTAAGAGTGACCCCAGAGCACATACAATCAATCATTTAAAAAAAATACCAGATTAAGATATACCGTATATCGGGAAAAAATAAACAAAATTAATTGTTAACAGAAAATGAAAAATATTAAAACGTTTCTGATGATGTCATGTGCTTTGATTAGTCCGCAAGTGAATAAAAGTTGGAATTTATCCATGTTGATCAAAGGATTTAATTAATGATGTGGTGGTTTTAGTCCAATGAAGTGGCGTAAATGCGTCCGTCAATTGACCAAGATCAGGGAGACATTTGGGTGAGTATAAACACGGTGTAAAAAGTCACATGGCTCTAGGTCGACTTGAACTCCCATAAGATTAAAAGTAGAAACTGGTTGAGCTAATTTAATAGAGAACAGTATCTGCCATGAAATTCAAACAAGCATGGCCTATACACATACTTTTTTTAAACATTCAAAATATCAAATAGTCGTTCAACTCTTTACGTATGATTATATCAAAGTTTAACAAGATACTCACAGCAATAAAATAATATCTGGATTCCATAACTCCGATAGATTAGAAATTAGCTTACAAGTGGTTAGGCCTCAGTTGCAAACTTTCTTATAAAAGCAGCCCTGAAATGCTTAATGAATTGCCCCAAACGTTCTTTCGATATGATGGCCTGCAATATCTACAGCAATCAGTGCAAATACGGCCATAAAACCAGTGACGTATAATGGTCTAATTATAAAATCAACAATTCCTATTTGCTACGGCTTTAAACCATTATCTGCAGAAGTTTGTGTATTTTGAGATTGACTAATGATGTGTACAATTGTAATAAACGTACTGCCCTAGGTCGTCTGATGTCAAAAAACAATATGTAGCTTGACAGGGACGTAGCCAGGATTTTGAAAGGGGGAGCCGTTATGCGAATTACTTAGGACCTCGGCGTGGTCAGGGGGAGAATCCCCCTGTGAATTAGCGCACTCTGAACGTTCTTAGGACTGTTTGAGAGGATAAAGTGAAAATTGCAATAGACGCATTATAAATAAGCGCAAAAATAATTATATAATAAATCAACAGTGGCAGATCCAGGAATTCGAAAGAGGGGTGAACCAGGGAGGGACTTTCACAGATCCAGGAACCACCCACCTCAGCCCCAAGATGGTTGGGGTTGAGGTAAGAAAATTTATGATTAGGGCATCTCTAGATGGCCGGAAATTACACTCTCGCACTTCAATTTGAATATTTTTTTTCTTAAAAAAATGAAGTGAGGGGGTGGGGGTGGCTTGAATCCACCTCTGCTCAAAACATTCTATATCCAGAATAGTCATAATCACGAAAAATGGACATAAAAAACCAGATCACATCCTAAAAACAAACAGCAGTTACCAAGACATACGGTACATCAGGAGCCGACTCGATGGAATTTAATGTCCTACCCAAGGAAGGGCACAGATCTGTTTTGAAAGGTGGAGGGGAGGGCATTTTGTGAGTCGACACCCAACTCAGCCCCACCATGGTTGGAGCTGAGGTGAGAAAATTTGAGGAAATACCTCTAGATGGCCAGAAATGACACTTTTAGTAAAATTCATCATCATCACATCACCATTTCTAAATATAAGCGTTCTATATAGGCCTATTTAGGTTATGGTGCCTGAATTTTAGTGCAGTACACTCTTTGATTTAACTATTTTTGTGCTAGTGAAAAACGGATCCTTGATACTGTCAATGTAAAGAGTCTCCTTTTTAATTAATCGTAGTTGTACGAATAGAAAAAAAAGCAAAAAGTGTAACTGAGCAAAATTTGGACAAATTGGTACTGTACTTAACAATATGCTATAACAAAAGAATGTATAGGGATATATTCAATGTCAATAATGCGAAATAATAATATAATATGTTTATTATACTATCCAAAACATTAAGAATATACTAAAGTATATAAAACAAGTAATAAAAAATCCATATCATAAAGGAAGCCTATAGAAACTTAAGCAGTCAATGAACTGGCGATATTAATAACGATATTCAAATTTTAATCAGAAAGAAATCTTTCTGTTTCAGTTCTTATACTACACTAGATCTCAGGATTGAGTAAAACATGATGTCGACAAGGTAGTTCGGACGCGCATATTATTCAACATTGAAGTCAGCATCAATTTACAGCAAGAAAGTAAACAAAACAGAGAAAACAGAAAAACATACAACCCGCAAATAATAGACGAAAAAAGCAAAGATATTAAGGAGCTTTTCGATTTGTGCAACGCTGGAACGGAATCACTCATGCGTGACCGTCCTCTGGCGTCCTACGTTCTCTGCATACGTAGATTTGGCCAAATTGCGTTCCAGAATCTACTTGACGAGCTGACCTTAACGTTCTTGCATGCGCAGATGACTTTTAGTGACGTCATACGTTCTACGTCCTACCCTCGTCGTGCAATCGAAAGCTCCCTAATATTCAAATACTGTATTATAACAACCAGAGGACAGCATTGTTTTACATGTAAACTGTAATTATACGAGTGGTAACGAAACGGTTGAAAATATTAGAAGTGACAGTTTAGTATTCATTTTAAATAAATATACTTATAATCAGCTAATAGCTGAACATTGCAAAGCTATATCCTATAGGCATGTTACTCTGTGTATAGTAAAATGAAAGATCGAACCTGTAACAACACAAGTAATCGGAAAGCATTACAATCGACGTTCAGTCTAGCAGGATGTAAAGTACAATTCCTCAATGTCAGTATCATTTTATATTAACTTCCCAAGTATTTAAAAATCTGATATACTTATAATAATTAGACATGCTTGTTTATTCACCAGCTTGATGTGTCAGTGTCACTGTGTCACTATAAAATGCTTTTGAAAACATTATTATTATTATTATTATTATTATTATTATTATTATTATTATTATTATTATTATTATTATTATTATTATTATTATTATTCTGTAAATTGCCGATGTTTTCTTAACTTAATTGCCGATGTTTTCTTAACTTAATTTTGCCTAAGTAAGTTTGCTGGGATGTTTTCCATACTAAATTTGCGATAATGTTTTATTTTTAATTTACCGTTCATAAGTTCTTATATCAAATCAAATTGTCTCGTATTAATTTCAGTTATGCACTTTATTTCTCGTTTTTTGTAACTGTTACTGTTCAATGTGTCTCGAAATTAATTTAAAAGAAAAATTACCGTGACTTTTTTTTTAATTGCCATTTTCAAAATATTTTCCATGATGTTCTATTTTATTTGCCGTGACACTTATGGGCTACCGTAAGTAAATATTTTAACGCACACAGGAATACACTTCGGATCTGCTTCACTGCAAACAGAATGATTTATTGCTTAACTGTTGTCACTATTTTTACTTTTTGTTTCCCCCACAACAACAAGCCATGTTAACAGTCTTGTATCCTTTGAATTCATTCAAATGGATATTTTCGAAAATGTCTTCAGGCAGGTATTTGCGTGAGCTGGTAGTGGTACTAATGTACAATGCAGACAAATATGTTTTTAAATATCTAAATCAATTGAAATATTTGGACACGCATTTTTGTCTGATATTTTTATATAATTTTAACTATAATACTGTCCATGTATTTTTGTATTGTTTAGACTATATTGTATTAACACGTTTCAGATTGACTTCACTTCATTGATGATGCGTTTTCTTTTATTGTCACTTCATTAGACGTACAGTACTCGTTTGGACACCACTGTTAATGGGACACCTCTACTAAGGAGACACCCCTATTAACTTACAGGGCATCACTATTAAGAGGACACCATTATTAAGGAGGCACTTTTTTGGTCCCAGTTTTTACCAGTTGGGGCTTAGTATTTTTTCCACTAATAATAAAGGATCACGGGATGCGTGCCTTAGGCTTAATGTTTTTCGCATATCGCTTGGCCAGGATACAGATTGGTAAATTCATACACTTGCTGGTTTGCTTTTACTTTTGACAGACAGATGAAAAAATAAAAATCAAACAAAATTTTTTGGCATTTAAATTTAATTGAAACGCATTATCAACTACACGTCATGCACGTATGAAAATCAAATTAAAACAAAGTGGAGCAAATTAAAAAGAATGGGATGCTCTGAAAAGGCCATGTTAAAGAATGGGATGTAGGTAGGGACAAAAACCTTACGACGTGTTGAGGCTGGTGTTCTCTCTCTCTGAGATCAGATCGAAGCGAAAAGAACACTCTGCCTCGCCTTGTGTCAAAATACAAATCTTGGGCGCCCTCAATTTTCCCATTTTGATACAGAGACAAGAAAATAAAAATCAAACTTAAATATTTGGCATTTTAAAATGTATAATTGAAAGTTGTAAATTACACGTCATGCACGTATGAAAATCCAATTAAAACAAAGTGGAACAAATGAAAAAGAATGGGATTATTATAAATTGTCTTGTCCATACGGCGAGTGATTGTCTTGTCCTTACGAGTGTTTGTCTTGTCTTTACGGCGAATTGTGTCTTGTCTGTACAGCGAGTGATTTTCTTGTCCTTACGAGAATTTGTATTGTCCTTACGGCAATTTGTATTGTCCTTACGGCAGTTTGTATTGTCCTTACGGCGATTTTTATTGCCTTTACTGCGTGAGAGTGGAATTGTTCGCACGCCAATGTTTGTCTATTTTGGCCCTAATGGCCGCCCATAGATAGAGAAAGAAAACTCTGCCTCGCCTGGTGTCAAAATCATAGAGCTATTAAACAACTAGAGTGCTGACAAGATGGCGGAGCAATGCAGAGTGGTGTATGTGTATCATCCAAGATGGCTGCCGTAGGAAAGCGCCACCTTCAGGCTTAGTATACATATTATTACCATAAATAAGCTCTCTGACTGAATATTATTTCATTAATGATAATTAGTATTGATAATGACAAATTATTAAACTGTCGTAGCAAAAAAGAGGCCAAGTAGAGCATCTTATTCAAATGTGTTTTCTGTGTAAATTGAGGGCGCAATTGAAAATGATAGTGCTCACGGGAAATTTGATTGGCTGAATCTATGGCAGCCATTTTGGATGGTACACACACACAACTCTGCGTATTTCGAACATCGAATACATTGCTGTTAGCGCTCTGGTATTCTTATTATATCTCTATGGTCAAAATATAAATAAAGGCGCCCTCATTTTTTCATTCCTGGCGGCCCGTCTTTGGACTAGGATCTGGAGATGAAGAACTACGGTAGTCGATAGTTTCAAAATATACACCAATATATTATGCGATACTGAATTTCTGGTACTATAAATTGTAATGATCAAAATGATAAATTACAATTTAAATAGCAGAAGTTCAGTATATTCATTATAATTCATCATTTTAATGGATATTGGATTTTAGCTTGATGTCGGCGATATTCAAATTAGTTTTTAGGTTTAATGCCAAGATTAATGATCTGCCGGTAGCGAAAGCTCAGCAGAATAGAGAGCAAAAGCAACAAGTGTCTTAGTGTACGACAAGAGCACAACCAAAATGCTAATGGGGACTGATGTATGACACACGCCGCGTATCCTTGCACACCCACACACGAGAATTAGCGCAGATTAATATGATGAATACCGAACACTACAGAGAATCGGACACAATGTAATCCATACCGGTTTCCAAAAATTAATCAGATGCTGACCTTCTAGTAAACTGTAATCATGTATATTTAATTATTGTAATGCATATATGGTTTAGCTTGATTTCGCTGATCATTCTCAGTTGCATTGTTTACCAGCATAAATGAAAATTGGAGTTTATGAAAACTGTATTAGTGTTGTATCCCTAATGCATTGTTTATTTATTAGATATAATTAAAAAAAAAATTCGTCCTAATTTCGATGTATGAAGTTAAAAGTCGTTTTAAATGAGGAGATTTAGGGTTAAATTTTTCTCATGATGTGGTATATTCCTTACATCTTATTTAACAAAAAAAAAACAGAGAAATGGAGAAATAAAATACTACATGATTGTATCGACACAATAAATACATACAGTTTCAAAGAACTGAATAATATTCGTGAGTATTTTAAGTCAAACAGAATTTACTGCATAGATTAATACCAAAATGTATTGTAGAAATTCAACTCTCATATTATGGAAATGAGCAATTTTTGTTAAATAAGAGCCATACAAATAGAAACATTGGTTGATTTTAGGTAAGAATACATTAGTTGACACGGTAAATACATTGTTATTTGGTTAGTAGTGTGGTAGCTTAGGTTGACTGAACAAACAAGACAACGACAACCATAACGTTCCAGGTTCTTTTAATCGCCAATGTTACGAGATTCACGATTACCAATATCAATCATCTGTCGATGTGTACACATCGGCACAACAACAACAAAAAAGAAACCCTGTAAGACAGCAGAATTACAGTTTCAATACATACATCATTATTAACATACCTGTAAACTTATTCAATTAAGTTTACGTTGCCAAACCGGCAAACCGTACAGTAACGGTGTTCAACAGTTAGCAACGACGTGAAAACCACTATGACTATGTTCTCACACGGCAGCTAACGGTTAGCATGATCCAGATCCTGCTAACCGTTAGCTGCCGTGCGTCCATGCGAGAAAATCCCGAACTGGATACGAATTACTGGCCAATAAGAAACTGGAAATTGTAAACGCGTACGTGTGATTGGTTGATGATAGAAACGCTCTCAACTTGCTAACCGATAGCGCTTGCTAACCGCTAGCGTATCCGGACACCGCTAACGGTTAGCGCTAACCGATCGGGCGTTCTCACGCAGGTGCTAACGGTTAGCTCCCGATCCGGATACTAGGGCTCTCGTGAGAACCAGGCTTACATATACCCAGACAAGCAAGATCATTACGCGCATACAGTATTACGTAACATTCAGACAGCTTAATTAAGTACCTGGATGCAATACTTTGCGGTGCAAATACGACGCGCCAAGAAAGAGGTCGACACGTTCATTCGCCCTTCCACAGTAGTATTATTCAAAGAATAATTAATATTCACACTTTATTTTAATCAAACAGAATTTACTGCCGCCTAGGATAAAATACCATAATGTATTGTAAAAATTCAACTCTATTTTTATGGAAAATGAGCAATTTTGGTTAATAACGGCCATACAGACAGAAATATTGGTTAAAGAAAACCTTGTATGTTCTTTTAAATAGTTGTACAGTAGTTGTCGAATGCTTCTACCCAATAACTTTTAAGTGGCACTGATTCGGAATCCACTTTGCCTTTACCAATGAGCTCCTGGGAATTGTAAAACAAAACTTAAAAGATAATTAATCCAACTACACATTTTTAATAGTTATTTTAACTCCGGGCCTCTAATTTAAGCGTTCGTGAATGGTTACAGGAGGTATGTTTTCCTGTTGTTGCATTCCGTCTGCAGAAAATAATTCTCGCAAATGTTTGCCGAAATTGATTGTTCGTAGCGGCGTATAGAATCGGATTGATTGCTGAGTTGAGCCACAGAAGGTAGTTTACGAACTCCCAAACAAAATCGCTTATATTGGGTGTATCGATTATTATGGTTATATTAAATGGCAGCCAGCAGATTACAAATGCTGTGACAAGTGCAGCCAGTGTAATGGCCGCTTTCCGCGTCTGCGACCCTCGATTCGTGCCTTGAATTCTCCGGAACGACGACAGTTTACACGGCTTTTTATTTGATTCTATATTCTTTTGACCCCAGTTTGGATCCTTCTGGTCAGTTTTACAGTTGTCTTTAGTTGTTTTACTTTTAATTTTGCAATTTGTTCCGCGTTGGAGATTCTTTCCTGATGACCACCTAAATACTTCAATAAACACATTAACGTTTAAATATACAAGTAAAACAAAAGGAAGGACGAATTCTATGGTGATCGACGTGTAAACAAATATCTCATTATCTATGCCTTCAACCTCACAGTCTTCACTGTAGTCAATATTATTCTCCCCTGTTATAAGCTCCCAGAATAAAATACTCAACGCATAAAATATACCGAAGAACAAGACAAGGCAAAGCGATAAAGCAAACGCTTTCCGATGCGTCATAAACGCGTTGTAGCTAAGATGTTTCTTAACCATCCAATAGCGATCTAGACTTAGCAGGATGATGCAGCCAGCCGAAACTGCGCATGCAGTATAGTCGAAAAACAAGTATGATTTGCAAAATATTTCACCAAAAGCCCAGTAACCGTACTGTATTTCGAGGTTGCTCGATGGGAGCGACACAATACCAATCGTCAGATCCGCCAATGAAAGAGTCAAAATAAACACGTTCGCGGGTTTGGAACGAATTTTCCGGTTGATGGCGAAAGAAAGCAACACTAGACAGTTACCAAAAATTGTCGCTGAAGTTATTATCCAACATATGATTAATCCAAAGATAAGAAACCCCTTATTTTTAGGATCATCGTAGCAGTCCAAGATCCCTGATGACGTCATAGAATTATCAGTGTAATTAGATGTGCACATCTCGGTGTCTGTGCTCATTATGTAATTCTTATCCATTGAATCCATCTCTGAAATTCACATATTCCTTAAGAAAATGAAAAAGGCATAAAATTACTACTAAGATTAAATATTATTACCGTTTTTTTTTAAATTGAAGTCTCATACTGAAAATAAAATAATAATTAACAATAAAATAAAGTCAATAATAAGAATATTGAAATTATTTTATTGGTTTTCAAATATCAAAAATCGGTCAATATTTAAACCGTATAATCTTCCAACTTACGCAAACGTTAAACAATTTAAACAAACGCGGGCGCTGTGAACGTCACTTTGTGATCCCTTGACAGTAAATACGTTGCCACTCATAGGCCTACAGCTACAAATTGCTGTGGATATTAATATTCATCAATTACCTCTGACATAATGAATCTATCCAACGTATGAAACTCAACCATGATGACCAAATGCCAAACACACATCAAATATTCGTAAATTCATATATTATCTTAACTTGAGAGGCAAATAGTATTGTATTTTTATTTATTACACCAAGTCAGATCGTACTAAAAAATAAAATAATAATAACAATAAGAAGAATATTAGAATTATTTATTTAGTTTTCAATTATCAAAGAATCGTCAATATTTAAACCGTATAATCTTCCAACTTACGCAAACGTTAAACAACTTAAGCAAACGCGGGCGTTGTGAACGTCACGTTGTGATCACTTGGTGTTAATAATTATGCTTCTATTGACACACATACAGCTACTATTATATATACAATTTGCTGTGGATATTAATATGCATGAAATTACCTCTGACACACTAAACTAATCCAACGTATCAAACTCAAACCATGATGACCAAACACACATAAAATATTCGTAAATTCGTATATTATCTTAACTTCAGAGGTAAAAAAATATTGTTTTTTTATTACACCAACTCAGAAATGGTTTCCGACAGGGCTGCCTAATTTTCAAAATGAGAAAAGAACAACAGGAACCAATCAAGACAAATATCAAAGGGTGTTTAGAAAACGAGGAGCATAGATGATTAAATTAGTGGGGAATTAACGTATTTTTGTGTGAATTGAATATATGTCTCTTGAGAATAATAGACGTGAATATTGTGTATGGCAGTTGTTATAGCTGCACTGATTTCGTTAAAATTTTTAATAATTTAGGCCTACTCTATAGAGAAAAGTTAGGTTCCTTAGCAAATGATTTGATGTGTGTTAATAATCATCAACAAACAATGTAGTTGCTACTAAAATGTGGGTAACAGCGAAAATGAAACACGTGAATTAGGCCTACTGGTAAGAAACCAGGAGCAAACTTCTTCTTGTACGATATGTCTGAAACCGACATTCTTGATATACCGATAAAAAGATCTGGTGTTGGTACGATGTGTGTTAGTTACGATGTCATCAATAAATAATTGTTCCTATATGTCTTTGAAATTAGGCCTATATCATCTGTACATCTTTCCTGACAATTAAATGTGGCTAAAATTAAGTTAAAACTGCTCAAGACATTTAAAAAGATAAACTCGTAATTTCCTCAAGGGCTTCCATTGATTTATCTGGAGTATACTATTCAATGCCTGAGTTTAAGGCTCTGTCCACATTATCAAATTTTCTTTGACAAAAAAAACACTGCTATATGCCCATATATAGTCATGATGTGCCTATATATGGTCATGGTGTGATGTCATCATGACCATAAATAGGCATATCCCATGTTTTTGTCAAACACAATTTGATAGTCTGGACAGGGCTTAGACATGCCTACCGACTCGATACCAATTGTTTCAAGTTTGCTTAGTTTTATTACTAGGCCTATTTATATACTATTTCCTCATTCGTAAACAACGTAAAAACCTACTGCCAAAGCCCTAAAGGAATTTATATCCTTCCCACCGTTCTTCCATGGAGGTAATGGAGGAAATTCCTCCATGGTTCTTCCGACTACTGTTCGAATGCTCTACCAAATAACAGAAATACTAAATACTAATTATGGAATGATAATGATATAGATATACACAGTGTAACAGTCTGATAACAATCCTTGCATCAATTCCATCAAAATGATTATGACATTCACCACTATAGCTCTGTCCACACTATCAAATTTTCTTTGAGAAAAAACTATTGTATGCCCATATATAGTCATGATGTGCCTATATATGGTCATGATGTGCCTATTTATGGTCATGATATGATGTCATCATGACCACATTTAGGCATGTCACATGTTTTTGTCAAACACAATTTGATAGTCTGGACAGGGCTTAGACATGCCTACCGACTCGATACCAATTGTTTCAAGTTTGCTTAGTTTTATTACTAGGCCTATTTATATACTATTTCCTCATTCGTAAACAACGTGAAGATAATTTTAACCGAACACTGAATACAGTACCTGTGTCCCACGGAAGATAAAAGAAAAAGATAGGCCTAACTAATTGTTTTAGTAAAAACCTACTGCCAAAGCCCTAAAGGAATTTATATCCTTCCCACCGTTCTTCCATGGAGGTAATGGAGGAAATTCCTCCATGCTTCTTCCGACTACTGTTCGAATGCTCTACCACGCTACGAAGCAAACTGCTTATTTTTTATTCTCGCTATCTTAGTGCACTACATGTCGGGGCGTAAGCCACTTTGTATTTTTTAAGACTGGCTATTTTCTCAAGGTATTACGTTTTTTTTTTTTTTTTTAATTATTCTATTTTAATATATGAAGTCAAATGACGTTCGACTTACCTTCAAGTCTGAAAAGGTTTGAATGATACTATTCTGCTCTGCTGTAGTTCTGCAATAATAATACAAAAGAGGTTTTTTCTGGACCGGCGTTGCTAGTACGTCATCTGTTAATCGTCGGATGTAGGGCAGTATACAGTGTATCCTTCGTGGTTGAGCCCAATCTCAGTTTGCGACCAATCAGAATGCGGTATTAGTCCTAGGTTAGAATAGATCACTTTAATTGTGGTTACTGGCGTTTTCACAAAAGGTATATACAATGATCAAACTTACTACATTACTACAGTAGTATTATATTTCAATGCAAAAACACAATACTACATTACTATAACTATAGGCTACAACAAACAGGTAATGATATCCAATATAGCAACCTCTACATTATTGAGCAATTAGATCAATAATTATAAAATTATAATTGTAATGCTGTAGGCCTAATAAAATTTAAAGGTACTATAATATGAATATCTCTAACTAAAATTAATATCCGAAATGTAATTTCAGTAGGTTATTTCCTTCATTACCAGTAGAGAGTTATTATCTGCTAAATTATACACTGTTTGAATATTTATTTAAAACTATAGAATAACTAAATAATTAGAATGGCAGAACGGAAGCTGTTGGTGAGGAGACAATAAGAGACGGTTACGGTGGTTTTGCAGCTTTGCAAAGAGGATTATAATGTCGAAAGAAAATGTTTAACTAAATGTTTACTATACACTAAACCTAAAAACAAGCGTTTACCATATTTGACTGTGAGGTACATCAGGACTGAGAATTGAAGTATTTTAAGTATGTACTTTAAAACAAGTGTATCTAAGAATGTGGAACGATAAGGAGACTACTAAAAAGATTAAAGTCCAATAAATCGAAATTAAAGGTGCCACTACCAGCATGGCATAATTACAGAAAATAGAATTAACACATCAAAGTGAACCTGATAAGTAAAGAAAATAATTATTGAGAATAAATTAGAATTAATCAGAAATACGTGAGACAACTATATAATAGTTGATTATTACTAGACTATTAAATAAATAGGCCTATTGAAATTTGTAGTACTGTATCTTGAAGACTACTTGTACTTAACATGACGCAAGAAAGCGATATAAATGCCATATAAAGTAGTGTTTAAAGTGTTGACTTTTCCATTAAATGTAATATTTTTAACACAATATCGAATGCTTATCGTTTTATTATGAGGGCAGCACTCATTATTATGGCTGTCGTTGCCCTTTCTTCCGTCGTTAAGGAAGAAAACCTTGCATGTGAACCTCAAAACTATCAGGGGAGGATTTATTTCCCGGAGGCATGCCCTCGGACCTTCTAGGGTAGTGTTGCTTCTCGATCGCGTTTGCGCTTATTGGATTTATGTCTTATTTCTAATGCTTATTGTAACATTTTTAACTACTATATTCTTGGAACTTCAGGTAATGTCGAACCTAGCCTACTATAGGTCTGAAGTTGAAGATACTATAGACATCTCATCGACAGTACCAGTGGACTGAAAGTTTTTTGTACGATAAATTTATTTGTTAATAAATGGAATAAACTGCCTGGAACTATCCAGAACATTTCAAGAATTTCGTATTTAAATTAAAAGCTAAAAAATAGCTCTCTATTAAGTAATTTTGTTTAAGATATACATATATCTATATATCACCTTCAGTATTTTTTAAACTTGCAAAAAACTTTTAAAATATTTCTCAACGAAAATGTTGAGATTCATTAAATCCGATTGTGTTTATATATCTTTTTAATTCTGATTTGTTTACATCGTATGTAACTTGGTAATTATTTTAATTTTTAAATTTTATATATTTTTTTTAAATGATACTGTAGGCCTATATTTATTGTGTTGTATTCTTTCTCTTTTGAGTGCTGCCTCGGAGTACCCCCCATGACAGTAGTACGTTTGCTTGCTTTTGGTCATCCTGGGTTGGCAGCACTCTTTGTTTTTATAGTTCTTGTAATTTTTTATGTTTGTATTTTTGTGTACGAAATTTAACCCACAATAAATTTGAATTGAATTGAACTGAATTGTAATACTCTTTAAAGAATTTAGTAGCTGAGCAGTTTTAGCCTAACGGTAATTTTATTATTTATGAATAATCTCTGAAAATGATTTATTTAGGGCCCCAATGAAAATAAGCACAAGAAGCAGGAATTACTTCTTTATATTAAATTGCTCGTTGTATTTTTTATTGTGAAGTAGGCCTTTCACGTATCCTATCAATAAACATTGTATATCATTTTAGTTGAAAGGTCTATATTTTTCTACCGTCGGCGGCTCCTTTTTCGCTAGCAGTCTCCTATATTGTGGATGCAATGCAATACATTTTAGGCTCTACTCAGATTAGGCAAAACCTGAGTGTTTTCTTTTCTGCGAAATTACCGATCAAGTGTTTCGGGGATAAATAATCGTTCGACCTTGTGTCCACATAAATCAAAATTTCAACCACCCTTTATAAGCCTTCATTCTTTCCGCTCTGTTTTGTTATGAAGGGTTTCCTGTTTTCTTGTCACAGCCCATGGTATTTACAGTATACCACTCATAAAATCACGGGAAGAAATATCAATAACAAAAGAGGAAGTACTATAACACGGCCTCCTAGCTTTGGTGAATAAAATGTTGACATAGGCGAAAGATACAATCTTTTTTATTTTTTTTTAAATTTTTTTTTTATATTGCGGATGTATATAAATGAAGCATAGACTATTAATTATAAATATTTAAAAAATAATCAAACACAACCTTCAACCCGTGAGATTCGAACACTGGACTCTTTCATCGTCAAACGTCATACACGGTCACCACCCAATATGAGTGCATGTCGAACGTAAATCGTGCGACTTATGGCCTACTCTTTTTTCTTTATAAGAACCATTAAAATTTAGCCCAGGCTCAGTGTTCTTATTTTTTAGCCGATTTCAGGCTCAAAATGTTCTTATTCCGTTCTTATTTTACATACTTCCCAAAGATAGAATATTATTACTGTACAGCGGTATATTGCTGTACTGCATATTTTAGGGTATTACATAAACATGCCTACTGCACATTAGGTGCAGATAAGATTTGTTGGTTTTTCTATAAAAATCTCTTCTAACATTTTATCTCAGCCTCAATTTTTGTTCTTAATTTTCAAGCAATTTCAGCCTCAGTGTTCTTATAAAATGTGTTCTTATAAAATATAAAGTATACATTGCGTTTTTTAAAGGGTTTCCGGTTCTTTTGTCACAGCTGGTATTCACAGTACAGTATACTCATACATAAAATCACGAGGAGAAATATTTAAAACAAAAGAGGAGATACTAGTCCTATAACCCGGGTTCCGTTCCGTTTCTAGACGCCTATAACTCGGCTTCCTCAATTTGGTAAATTAAACGTTGACATATAGGCGAAAGATACTATCTTTTTAATGTGTTTCTTGTTATCATTTTCAGAGTTTAGATAGGAACAATTTCATGGTTTACATTTTTTTGATAAGGTGCAATTTTTAATTCACATTTGAAGTCTGACTACCAAATTCCTTTAGTTGGTGCCAAATATTTCCTACTGGAAATTGGCTAATACAGTATATTTATTTATTTTTTTTTATATTGCGGATGTATATAAATGGAGCACAGCCTATTAATGAAACGTAACAGGAAAATCTGACAAATATGAAAACAAAATCAATTAACCACGACCTTCAACCCGTGGAATTCGAACGCTGGACACCACGTATGTCGAACATAAACATTAGGCCTACTTACTTATCCGCTCAATACAATCTCGGATCCCGATGAACGATGGACTTGTAGATGGTTCTGTCTTCCATTGTAGGCCTACTTTGATTTTCATGGATGTTTTTCAGCCCAGCATCCTGTTTCATGTCCACAAAGGTAATGGCTGGTCGGCTTCTCCCTCTTGTGCGACGTGAGACATAACTTCCTCATAATATATGATGGCTTATCATAAAATCTCGAATAAGCCCTGGGCTCTTTCTTCCCCCACCCCCCCCCCTCCCAAACTTCGGATGGGCTTCTTTTTGACTAGCTACTTTTGCAAAGTAAAGAAGGGTGGGGGGGGGGCTTCTATTCAAAATGAATGCTGTAAATGAATTACTACTATAAAAACAATATGGCCACTGTAGCAGTCTACACCATGGCGTGTACCGTATTAACCGGCATTAAATCACCTAAACTACTGTGTAACCCAAGAGTGTTTTTAATTTATTTTCTTTGAAATTCATGTACAGTAGGTACTGTACTATTTCGGACGAAGCCCATGGGCTTCTTTTCGAGAGATGGGCTTTTTTTAAGGCTGCGTTGCAAACTAAAGTGAGGGCGGGCTTCAATTCGAGATGGACATATCCTGGAGATTAACCCATTGGGATATATTCGAGATTTTACGGTACATTGACACAGTATATAAGCCTATACTGTACATAATTGTTACATCATTGTTCATAAACGGATTTTTTTTTTTTTCAAAAAATGCATTTTCAATCTAATAGGCATATATGTAACATGAGAAAAACATGAAAATTAATTTCAAATAAACTGCGGCAAATTGACCATCTCATTTTGTAGTTTGATTAAATAGATATTGCCTATGCACCACCACTATTAATGTTGATTAATCATTTTTATCATATAATTCTTTAGTAATATTATTGCAGAGTAATAATACATTTTCAAGTCATCTGTCTCATGCACTATCAGTTTGTCACGCTACTGTATTTTATTGATGATGATGTATAAATTGATCGGTATAGGCCTATATATCACGATTATTAGTATGTCTTGTCATCTTTTTTTTATTCATTTAGAATATGATTAATAACGCAGGCCCATAACTAGCTTTGGTAATGGGTGCGGGGAGGATCTTTTTCAATTTGAGTGGAACTTTAGGGGTCCAGGGGTTCTTTCGAAAAGTGTTGAAAACCATGACCGCCACCTTTAAAATAAAATGCTATTGTGGTGTTTTTAAGCTGCTTTCAAAAGTATCATTTTCGGGAATAAACATTGAATCGATTTGATATGCAGTGGCGGATCCAGGAATTCGAAATAGAGGTGGCCCAGGGAGGGACTTTTACAGATGGGAGCCACCTCAGCCCCAAACGGGGCAGAGGCAAGAAAATCTATGATGTTGGCACCAGATGGCCGGAAATGGCACTCTCGGATTATATTTTCCATTTTTTCTCAATTTTTGTTACAATTTTTGAAAAATGTTTAGGGGTACCAGACCGGTTCATACACCTCTCCTTGAATCCTCCCACTGGTATGTAGGCCTACAGATGTTGAAGAATCGGTGGTAGGCTATACCATGCAATTATGTTACTAGATCAAAGTAGTGCTCTTCGGATAGGATCACATAACCATACATTACAGTTTTTCATCGTGAACGAAAAAGTAGGCCTGTCTACGACAAATCATAAATAAGTTTTCATTTGAATTTATTCAACCACATGCATACATTAACACATAAAAATACAAAGGCGATGGCTTTTGAATCGTAAAAATAATCATCGGATAAAAACGACTGTCTTGATCAATGTTTATTGAACCAATTATGTATCCTTTGTCAATGCTCCAGTGCGGCAAAAAAAGAAACAAAATCCTAATTATATAAAGAACTATGAAATTGTTTTCTATTGGTCTATTAGAGTGTAACTCCCTATCCCCCGCCCCCTGTTTACGGGCCTCTAACGTCATAGCATAGTATGGACAAACAAATAAACAATTAATTAATACGGTAGTTACTCCACCCAAATTAGATAGTGTAATACCGTACATACTCTCCAAGTATAGAAATGCACGCCATCGTGTCGGGATTCCACCCAGTTATGCAAATGAATGTTATGTGATAGAAACCAACAACAGAAATTACCATTTGATATCAAACTACTTTCTAATTTGTAAAATAAAGTAAAATAAAAGCCGTTTACCATGTTTAATCGTTATGAATAAATTGATTTGTATTTAGGCCTATGTGTTCTTTAATAATTAATTATTGATTGTTCAATTAAATCTTTTATATTTTATGAACTTTCTTGATGTTTTATTGTATGTCTTTCTATCAGTATATTTTGTTATATTAATCATCACGGACTGAATGAAAAACAACAGTCTATTCTTTTTGTTCTAATTAATCTAATTGATACCTTACTTAAACAATAATTCTGAAAAGGAGAGTAGTTTTTAGGTATAGTGATTTGTCCCAAAGAATGGTTGGAAAAATAGCCTTTAAAGCAGCATTTGGCAGCAGAAAATAATCCTCGCAAAGGTTTTCCCGAATTTATCATTCGGCATAGAGAATCGGATGATTTCCGAGTTCAGGTACATTCACACATGGAATAAGATAAGGTTATATGAGGTGATTTTTATCTACTTGAGTGTGATTTGTTTTGCTTCGAACATTTTCAGTGCAGGGTGTGGGGGGGGGGGGAAATAGACTGGGGTGAGGGCGTTATAACAAAGAATAAGTATTGTGTGTACGGTATAGTATATGGAACCCATAATATTATATTCTAAATAATAAGTATGCATTTTTTACACATCAAATTTCAAATCTCTTTCATATTGCTATATATAGGCAAGTTTTAATTTCATTTTCTATACAGTTCTATAATCATTATTCGTACAACTTTATTTTTAATTTGGCAAATATATTCTTAATATATGGGCGATCTGTAGCCCTATTTATATATTAAATATTTTAACATTGCCAATTTGATCCATGGTCTGTACTTTAAGTTTATAAATATATGGTCTGTTAAACCTATGTTATTAATGTGTTTTTGTTTTGTTTTGTTTTTGTTTTTTTGATGGGCAACCGTACCCACCATTGTTACGTACTCTTCCCTAAGTCTTCATGCGCGTGATGAGTAGAAGTTTACCCTCGTTAAAATACTGTAGTCAGGTTTCCTTATAAGATACTTGACGTGTAGATGAATATAGCAAACGATACCATAAATGACTATAGCATCATCAAAAAAATAAAAGAAGGCAATTAATGTTTACGTTATCGTCAATATGCTATACCTTTACTATTTCCGTTATCTTAAAACATAAAATATTTTAAACAATTAATAATTGTATATAATTTCATATAAGAGTAAAGAATGTATGTGGATGGAACAATACACATGTAAAAAGTAGCCTATATATACACTTAATGCTATAATAATATATACAGTATAACAGGTTCTGGTATTAGGATACATTTATCTTAATATTAAAATAAACAATTGATGTTTAATACAATTTAAGAGTAAAACATTGTTTGGATATAGTAGGAAAAACTAGCAATTATGTTTAAAGATGTAAAAAGCAACCTATATATTTATTATTATTCAAATAATGTTATAATATATATAATCTATTCATTCATAATACATTTATAACATGCATATATAGGCCTCTACTGGTTCATACACATGGGCCTATATGAATAGATTATTGGTGTATAATTATAATATGGTATAGGCCTATACCATTTCGTTCACTACCAGCCAATATATTTTTCTGTGCAAACCCCAATTAAAAGAAAAAATAAATAAGCTTAACAATACAGGGGATATGTAGTTGGGTATTATTACAACACCGTTTCGGCCTCTGATAATATTTAATAATAATATTTATTATAATAATTATAATGACAATTAATAATAATAATAATATATTTAGTTACAATTATAATTATATTATCATTTTGCTAACTTAAAAAAAAACAATTAAAGATACAATCGATTTGCACACAAACGTCAATCTTTATTTAACTAAACTTCGTTAAAATTTTCTTTCCTTTTCTAAATATTGTTTGGACTTCGATCTTACGAGTATAAGTTGTTCGTGGTCATGGTTTGACTGTAATTTATGGACATTATGGACTACTGTATCAGATGATCTTAAGGATGAGTTAATGGGTGACTCGTTGAAACCGTTTTTGCCTTCTCTGGGTTCCAATTTTCTTGATTCTATAATTTTATTCCATGTCTTTTTGACTGATTTATTGTAGGCCCTATGTTTTTTTGTTTTTTTTTAATCTTAACTTTATTGTAAGTATGATATAATTTGAAATAGGTTTGTAATTTTTGGTTTATACTATGACTGTCTCTTATACACATCTAGATGTGTATAAGAGACAGGGGATGGTCCACCGCGACATCGACGTCGTCGAAGTCGAATCAAGTTCACAGAAGAGCAGCTTAACCAACTCGAAATTTTCTACGAAAGTAATCGTTACCCAGACATAAATGTCAGAGAAGATATTGCTGACTGCATTGACATCAGTGAAGCACGAATCCAAGTAATGCTTTTTAGACAGACTTATTGTCTTATATTACTTTTGACCGACTTTTACATTTTACAATTTCCCCATTTTTTAGTTTTTATGCTATTTTTTATATATACAATTTTAACTTTTGTTAATTCATACGCAATTCAGTCAGGTGCTCACAATGTATACATTTTACTGTAAAGGTTGAATAAATATACCTTAAAAATGTTACTGTTTACAATCTTTAAAACCATTAAAATGAACAAAATGATTTCCAATGAGCTATATAGGGCATACAATTCAAATGAATTAATTCTAGCTACTTTTAAAAATATCATATTTCTTTTGCAAATTAACTAGTCCTTTAAAAGAGAGTAAAAGTAAATTTTAGACGATGTATATGTTGGTGGTACACGTCCCTTAATAGACTTGGTAAATAATACGGTTTTCACTGGCTCAAATATGTACCATTTTATTACTGGAAGTGGCTATTGTTACGCCAGTCTTAAACGATTTTTTATTGGGTGAATTAGGAATTTGTTTAAAGGCTTGTAACTATAGCCACTTTCCTAATTAATAGCCATTTTTTCCCGTCCTCCTAATATTTACATGATATATTGATTTTAAAAAGATTTTCGTCTTCTCATGTTTTAAGTGAAAAAATATCTTCCTCGCTCATACATTAAAACCTTTTTTTTTCTTTTATAGGTGTGGTTTCAAAATCGACGAGCACGTCAGCGCAGACAGCAAAAATGTTCTTCGAATTATACCAAAAATAACTCCAACAAAAGAGATGAACCAGAGCACCAACTGGAATCACCTTTGCCAACCGAAATCGTGACATCTACTTCTCCAACCTCAACCACGTCATCTACGCCAACGCACATAGTATCTCTGCCGTCAACTGCTATAAGATCAGATGGATGCAACGATACTAAAGCTAATTCTAATAAAAATGGCGCACCAATTACTGCATTGGTTATGTCAAAGTGTCCAAAATACGAACAGGTATCACCTTTACCAGTTGGATTTGTGACGTCTAATTCACCAAAGACAACCAAGCCATCCACGCCATCTTCCATCGTATCACTATCATCATCGAAAGAACGCAACGATACCAGCATTTTTTCTAGCAAAGAGGAACCAAATACTGAGTATTCGGTTAAGTCAACGTGCCAAAAACGCGAAGGGGCATCACCTTTCTCAGATGAAATCGTGACATCTACTTTACCAAAGTCTTCCACGCCAACGCCCATGGTATCTCTGCCATCAACTACTACAAGATCTACGCCGGGTGGACGCAATCTCTCTACTACAGCTGCTGGTAATAAGTATTATCATCTGCCGATGTATTCTTCTGCCAACGTCTTTGGTGGTGTTCCAGGTATTCCATTTTCATCGTATCCATTTCATCCATACTATCAGTGTCCAAGACGTGTGTTGACACCCTCTCCTTATATCTACATCCCAAGTATACCGTCATATCTCTCCCCTCAGCAAGTAGATGCAACTAAGCAGCCATTGAGACAACAATGGTACAATATGACAACCCACTTTGTGTAGCCCTGTAGTCTACAGTACGCGACAGCGCATGATAAGACGTGCATGTGTGGTGACATTTCTTGTGACGGACACTTTGTATTGTTATTTCATTAAATGTTGTTATTTTTTTGGAACGAACTAACGCTGGTCGATCCCTCTTACCACTTAAGATCACACATTAAAGCGTTGTAATATTAATAGGCATCTCATTCCAGTTATAAATTCACATATATTAACGTTGGGTGCATTTTGTAATGTGGTGATTTAATTGGTTTATACTATGATGACGCAACATCCAATAATTTAGATAATATTTAAACACAACATTAAAAATTTTAATATCTTATACTTTTGTATACGCAATTATAATACGATTAGAAATCGTAACGTGCCGTTAACAGACGTATATAATTCTTTTAGCATAGATCCCTTAAAAAGGCATTTAATAAGGCTGACAGGTAATTTAAATATCTTTATTAAGTTCTGTATATCATAGAATTGTTTCGGCCTGACTAGTGTCATTGGCAGTTGATAATTTATTTTATCCTTGTCCATATATAGTCATATCATGACTATATATCGGCATACAACATTCTTATGGCAATTAAAATTTTATAATATGGACAGAGCTTTGGAATATGCCATTCAAAGTTTTATTGAAAGGTTTTCGAGATTTTACCCCTTATTTTTAAGAATAAAACTTAGGAGAAAGGTGGATTATGTAGGCCTATGTTAAAATGTCTTTAATTCTTGCCAAACGCCAAACCTAATTGTTATTATGTCTTGATTAAATTTATTATTGTTTAATATTATATATGTTTTGTATTTAATCTTTATGAAACAAAACATGCACTAAGTGTATACAGATTGTACATAAATTCTTGTAGTGTGTTTGTATGTTTGTCAATATTTATTTTTGCATAATGAATAAATTTGTCGAATCTTTAAAAAGAAGTGTCCGTACTATTCATATATGATTGTCACCGTTATTCGAAATATTGTTTTTTTTTATTTTTTGACATAATAAGATATTTGTTTTAGAATATCCATGTTTATGGTTAAGAGGGTACTATAGACTGTGTTTCAGTCCCTGATTTTGTCTTAATCAATGAAAAATATTAAAATAAATCTATTTTATTGTAGCACCAATGGCGTTCCATATTACTTATAAATAGATTTATTTTTAAGAGTTTTCACTGATTAAAATATGAGAGATTGGAACCCAGTCTACCTTCAACCTAATTTCCATCTTGAAACTTTATTTGATCCAAATTCAACAACGTAACAAAAACAGACGCTGGAGGCGCTCTTGAGGCTGTCTAGGTTGAGGGCGCTATATCAATTATAGAAACACACGAAGTATAGCAAATAGAGTATTACCACTTTGTTGTTTTTACTACAAAAACAAAAAGTATGAAATTACAATTAAGATATGGGAAAGTTACTGAACGAGCGGAGTTAAATAGCGAAAATCCAACCTTAAAAATATTAAAGGAAGCTGCAGCGGCCTGCTTCAGGTAGACTTAATGTAGAGGCATTGATTTAGGCTTGGCTACACGGCACTATCCTAGAGAGAGAGACCTAGGCCTAGGCCTACCTATGCTAAGCCTAGCCTAGGACAGGCTAGCCCAGGTCAGGTTGGTTGGCTCACTCAGGCAGAGCGTGATGTGGGTTACATGGGTATGACTTGATCTAAATAAGAATAATAATTCTAGTTTAGGCCTAAACCAGCTAGGCCTAATTCCTGGTGCATTACTATAAGCTAACTAAAATAAGGTGCACTCAGATAGGGCCTAGGCTAGGCCTTCGCAAAATATGCTTAATTTAAGGGTAGGCTTATATTAGGCCTAGCCTACACCTAGGCCTACATCATTTTGAGTAAATTGTTTGGAGTTTTATTTAACTTTAGAAATGCCATTCATGCTGAATATGGAGGATATTTGTTGACAATATAGACTAGACGGGAACTAGTCAACTCTCCCTCCCCCCTCCCCCAGCAAACTCAAGGTTGGTACCATCAGTGGTGGCGCCAGCGGGGAAGGGGATTGTCCCATTGGACAGGCCTGGAACCCTGTCGTCAGACGCACGACTACTGGTAGGTCGAAGGATCAAAAATTGGAAAATTAATAATTTGCCTATCCATGTATTAATGACTGCCAAAATTGCTGTCTAAAAGCACATTTTGGATCACACTAAGCTGACAACTCTCCCTGTGAAGGTAGTTTAGTTTGTTTGCGATATATATTTTGATTGCATGTTTAAATGCTTAAATTAAATGGAGATAAAGTATAGTCAGTAGATTAGTTTGTCATACATGAAAATACCGTAAGAACACGCATAGACCTTTATTATTAATTTTTCAGAAGTTGATAAATATAACGATGTATGTAAACTTGACTTTTCATTTTTGGGAACTGCAAGAAGAAAAAGAAAATTGTTTTTTCAATGTTGAACACTACAAACTGTCTAAAAAGGCCTATCTAAAAAGGCATGCTAAAAGTATATTGAAATTAATTGTAATTTAAAGTTTTGGAACAATAACAATCGTAAAGAACTAAAATATTAATTATACTGAAAAAATACAAAAATGTATTATGTATAGTCAAGCATTGTAAAAAAAGACGAATTAATAAAATTAATACTAAGTATAACATAAATTAGACCACTGACATTTACGGTACATTTCCATTTCACCCACCTATGGTACCTACCTAACTAACAGATAGGTTATGGGTGAGTTTGTTAGAAGGAAATTGTGTATAGTCGGAGAAGCGAGTTTGCTAGGGGACGAGTTTGTTAGGGGGCGAGTTTGTTAGGGGGAAAGTTTGTAGTGGCAAGATTGTTGAGGCGAGTTTGTTAAGGGGCGAGTTTGTAAGGGGCGAGCTTGTCAATGGGGCAGAATTGTAAGGGCAAGTTTGCTAGTGGCGAGTTGACTGGTTCCCGCCTAGCCTATATTTTCAACAAAAATCCTCCATATTCAGGATGAATGGCATCTCAAAATTAAATAAACCTACAATCAGTTTACTCAAAATCAGATGTAGGCCTACAGTACACCTATACTGTACCGTCTGTGTGCGAATAATTGCCTCTTAATGTCACTGTAAATACAGGACATAATTACCATCAAAATGTGTTATTGCATGATCATAAAGACTTATTGATCCCAAACAGGTATTAAGAGAAATGAAATTCTACTGAAATAGATTAGTATGTGTTGAGAATGATGTTGCTTCCATTAGTTTTATTCCTTTCAGTCATTTGGCGGTGGGGCATTTATTTGAGGGAGGCGTTTATTTCAAATGAGGCTCTGGACGGGGAATTTATTCAAGTGGGTGCGAGTTGGTGTTTATTCAAAGCAGGGTGTTTATTTAATAAATATGATATCTTTTTACTGTGTGACAAAATAATTGGTTAATAAGATTTTTGAATGTTAATTCCAGGGGTGGAGGAAGTTTCTGCTTAGATATGGCTTGAATGCTAGTCAGAATATAGTCCTAGATGTTTGATCAAATGACTGGAGTAATGCCATTATGCAGTATATGACTGATATGTCTTAAGGCCAACTCAGACAGCGTTGCACGATGCAGCCCGACGTGATTTATCATCGGGGACAGTCTTGAGCCGTCGTGAGAAATATTAAACATGTTTAATATTCTACGACGCAAACCATCGCGTCTGCGTTTAACTCGCACAGACCCGACGTGACAACAAATCGCATCGAACGTCGTACAAAACACTGTCTGAGTTGGCCTTTGGTAGTTTCATACAATAAATAATTTTTGATTTTGATTTTTGTTTACCTTCCAAGGCTGCCCCCAGTGTCATTTTATCCAAGTCTAAATGGAAAAGATGAACTTAAAGGCGATGACAACACTTTGCTATCCTCTTTTGACATTGTTTCTGGCGATCGGATCTTCATTGTTGAAAGAAACCAAAGAAAACGAGAGGAGCCCATGCAGCAAAATTTCAAACCAGTGAGCGAAAAACAATCCAGAACATCAGAAATTCCATCAGTATCGTCATCTTCATCGAAAGAGGAAAAGATGGCGACTGACAAGAATCTGTCTGGAACAATTGATCCAGCTGCAAATGCTGATGGCCATTTTGAATGTATTTCCTTTGAACCAATGGTAATAAGGGACTCCACAGATGACTTACTGCCATTGAGGTTAAGAACTCTCTTTGAAAGTGAAATGCCACAGGACGAGCATGAGGTTTTAGTTTTGATTTGTCATGTTCTTCTTCTGGAAACAGGTTTCAATATCGAGGTATGTAATAAGATTATATAATATTTTATGGTAAAAACTTGTATCACACAATTTATATTCTTAATACAAGGACATATCAGGTGAGGTTCTACCTGCTACTGGTAACCATATAAACCAGTACTACCTGTTCATGGTCGGAAGGTGGGCGAATAAACCTGCTCACCCACCTAGGGAAACTCCGGTGAGGAAGTTGTGTGGACCCCTGGCGGGACTAAAAATTAGACCTGTTAATGCATAGATGGGTTCATCGAGGAACCAACAGGCATCCACCATTTCCCCTAGTGATGGGTAAGTGGTATGCCATTGCAGGCTCACTGTAAAAAAACAACACTTCAATAGCAGAATGATGACAGAAACAGGTGTGAAAATCAGTAACCCTTCGTAAGAGGGATAATGCTGAATTAAATAAATGATGATGATGATGTTTATAACATGATATCAAAAAATATTACAATAGTACAAGATGAAAATGTAAGTGAAATGAACTCATTTGTTTAAATAATGATAGGTTGCTGCCTGCATGGTAAAATCTAAAACCTAAGAAATTGATTCTTTATAAAGACTGAGACTTCCAAATAGACGCATATCAAGATAGATTGACAGTTTTGTTATTTTTTGAAATTTTTTAACAATTTCAATTTTTAATTAACTTTCTGAAAGACGTTTCAAATTGATTAAATCTATTTTGTCATATAATGAAACAAGGTAACTACTGCAAGTGGTGGAGAGAGCAATAGAGGGAATGAAGCCACTACATTATTAGCCAGTTGGAGGGATAAGGGAGCGTACAAACTCACATATTCACATGACCACTGTGAAGAAGCCACAATGACAATGGCGTGTGTTCCCATGTCAAGCTTACTGGTTGTACATGGTAAGTGCATCATACAGTAGGTCCATCAGTCTTGTTTCAGGTCTTATTGTATTGACTATTTAAATCATTGTTGGATGGCAAAAGCGATTGATTTTTTTGTGAATTGGCAAGGAAATGTGTCAGACTGATAAAGATTGCATTTAAATTGAGGTCACTAGAGAAGCCAGAAATATATACCACAAATTGATTATGGCTACACATTTCCGAACAAATCCTATGCAAACAAAAGTACAGAAAAAATGGTAACAACCATTCACAATCTAACAGTATGAAATGCAGTGTTAACTTTCTCTTCTCAGGTAAATTGACAGGTACGGGGAGTGCGGTTACACCCCTTCAGCTTCGATCTGCAGACTATATTGGTCAGGTTGTTCAAGGTACTGTATTATTGAAAGTTAATGAACATTTGATTTTTGTTGGGGTTTTTTTTTTTAACCCTCACTGTGAAAGTGGCTTGTTTCCTTAAACAAGACACTTTATTTACATTTGTCTGTCTACCCAGTAAATGAGTACTGGCATATGCTGTGAAGGGAGTGGAAAACCTCCTCAACAATCTTGCACAGTCTGGTCCAAATGTCATAAAAAAGAAAGATGTGCACTCTCGCTTCTGAGACCAAAGCTAAGGTGTCAACCTTTACCTACCATTTTTTTAAACATTTTTTTAATCTTTAATCTGCTGATTTTACACAGGATTATGTCCTCTTTAATTATCTTAAGTACTGTACTTCTTTAGGTGAAACAATGTGGGCAAAGTCACTGGAGGCTGGAATTTTTATTTTATTTATTTTTTATACCTTTATTCTGAATACAGCATAACATTCATGGATAATAACACAATAAAGTACCAAACAAGGCAAACTCATTTCTATTGTGGTCCAAAATAGATTACACCACAAATTGATGCCGTCTTCCTTGACTGGTAAAAAAAATAGCAAAAGGATCACAGTGGTTTTGCTCACATACACATAGTGATAAAACATCTGTTTTTATACACTGAGCCATCGTACCCTCTACTGGTCATTTTTATGATGTACATGTATGTTATTCTGTTACATTGATAATGAAAACGTTTCTTGTTCTGTTACAGGTTTTCCATCCACATGGAATCAGTTGGCATCCTTATCCCGGATCTTCAAGGATAAATTTGCTCATTCTGTCTTAGCTGCTATGAGGCAGAGTAAGTATCATTTCTATTTTAATAATTTGTATGTGAACAGTATTTTGGTCATTTTTGGTAGGCGAATGGAAAAATTACCATTGGTAATTGTTCCCATAATCAGCATATACCGAAAGAGAGCACCAACTCAACTTTAGGTTCATGAGCTTGATGTGATGTGTGTGAACACATTGAAATTTTGAACAGTGGATTAGCAGTCCACTTTTTATTGCTAATCCACAATTAGCAATCAGCAATATTCCTGACAATTTTCCCTTTTTTTTTAGAACTGAACTTACCTGTTCTGTATGGATTTCTTGCTCTCATGCCTGAGATTCAGGTAAGTATAGTAATCTTTTAATATTTGATGTACAATAGTAATATTTTTTTTTAATTTGTGTATTAAGATTAGCAGCTGTGCTTATATGGTAGCCAATAACAAGGAAAACGTGGGTATGAGTTGCCAATTCAATAACAAGTTGTAACAAGTTTGATCTCCTAAGATATTTTATAAATTTCATTACACAATGTCTTGGTTCCGGTCCCCTCAGAGCAGCCAATAACAAGGATGGAGTACTCTGGATATTTTCTTTTTTATCTAGCACATATGAAATCTCTTTAAATCTAAATAAATATTCATTTCATTTAAAGAATTGTACAATAACATTTTTCAAATTAATTGCCTTACAATATGTAATGATTCGTACAATAGATTTATTCTGCTTTTTATCTTCCACCAGCTGAAAATACTTAGTTTTCTCAACATGCCAGACCTTATCTCACTGTCTACTGTCTGCAAACATCTGTGCAGTCTTGCTAATGATAGCACCCTTTGGAAGCGATTAGTACTGAAGGACTTTAAAGTGAGCAAGACGACTACCACCGGAAATTGGAAACATGTAAGTGCACTATCAGTTAGCAACGTGATTAAGAGGGCCTCAATTGAATGTTCTGTCTTTCATTCTACCATACTAATTTCTTAAACCACCATTAGAGTCCAAAAAACAAAGTTTTCTCTATATCTTTAGTTTGTACTGTATAATATTAAATGGCCGACTTGATTGATTGATTGATTGATTGGTTTATTTATTACAATATACATTTGTAGCCCTTCTTGTTCAAATCAAATGAATAAACAAATCCAAATAAATTGTATTTACTCCGGAAATTTATTCAATCATCAATCTAGAAATCTAAAAACAGAATAATACGGTTTACGGTACTACTGTATTACAAGTGACTGTGACATCAGAAATCCCTTCAGCGAGTCCGGCGAATGCAACACCATAATTCGATGGCGACTTAAGCGCTAACATAGGCTCTTATTAAAACCGTGTCCCAGTGTGAAGAAAGCTATATACAGGACCGCCGAGAGCAGCTGCGGACCCCGGGGCATCTTCACTGCCAGGCCCGTTGGTCGGGGGTCTGGGTCGCCTAGGGCCCCAGCGGGATCAAGGATCTCTGGAGCTCCCCCCTCCGTGACGGAAGCTACGGCCTTTTAACAGATTAAAGGACTAATTTAATCGAATATAGAGTGCCTAATTTCACCAGGTCATAAAAAATAAAGTATAAATTTTGAAAGATTTAAGGGGTGGGGATGGGCCTCCCCTTCAATCCACCACTGCTGAATATTAATTCAGTATTTATTTAACTCTATCAGGTCTTCATATTTTCTTGTACTTGTATGTTAATTGACGATGTCCAGGGTCCAACCCTTGTATAATTATTAATTAATAACGTGAAGAATTTACTATTTGATACATTGTAAACCTAAAATTCTTGAGTAGTAGAAGTCATGAAAATACTCATGAAAAAGAATTAGAAGTGATTAATTACCAGCTTTCATAGATAAACGTTCAGCTTTATTTACAATTCTTGTTGGAAAAACACATGAATGGAATGGATGGAATGAATACTTTTAATAATTTTTATTTATTTATTTCATTTTATTATTTTTTACCTTGTTATTCTGGACCAACATGCTTTCTTATCTTTGTTCTTGGCAGCTCTACATTCAGAATTATCTTTACAAGCTGGAAATTGAGAGAACTAGACGAAGGACTTTGAATCAGGATGACCCTATTCGAGGGTTTCCTCCCACGTTTGGTTTAGTGCCACAATATCCGCAACCATTCCCAAATGCTTTCCCAGGAATCAGGTAAGTTGTTGATGTTTGTCTCCCTCTACTGGCTAGTGACAACTTTGTAATATTTATTTTTAAATGTAAAGTATTCCACAATGTTGAGCAGTAAGGCCATTTAAATTTGGGGCAGAAAATAATGACTAAATAAGATAAGTATGCATTAGATGCATACTTTGAAACTATTAAAACAATACATCGTATTTTACATGTATTATTATTACTTAAACACGTCTAACAGTCAGTGTTGTTCTTATTTTTAAAATTATGTTGTTATATATGCCTCAGTTTTCTTCCTTGCTATGAATGTTAGATTTGCCTTACTTGTGCCAGATTTCTTTCTAATATATCTTCTTTTTTTTGGTTCCAAAGATGTTGATAGAAATGATATTTCCATTTCTTGTTAGAAAGTTCTCCAGTAACACTATTATGTCTTTGATTCTGGTTTGATGTTAAATACCGCTTAAAGAAACCACCAAACACTTGTTGTCTTTATACATTAGATTCCAATGTTGATCTGTAACAATGTTGACTGCAAAATGAGATGTTTTTCCATGGATCTACATCAATTTTTTTAATTGTTCATGTGGAATATTTTGTTAAACATTAATGAGATACTTGCTTTTTGGTCTAATGAACAATTCATAAGTCACTAAAGTCATATAAAGATTAGTCTTTTATTCTACTAGGTACCATCCAAAATTTTACTTATTTGAAATAAGTCTTGCACTTTCATGAAGATTTGTGCAGTGGCAGGTTGTTATTCCATGTGAATGAAGTGAGGAGACTAGGGGCGGATTGCTATAAGCGGTCTTAACGCTTAGCCGGCTACAATTGTGACATTGCTACCAGTCTATGATTATAGACCATTGCTATACCGCAGTCTAACCAGTTAGCCATCTTAAACTTTAAAGCCGACTTAAAGGAGGCTTAAGACTGTCTTAAATCATTTTCATCATGGCCCTACAGGCATTCGACCTAGGCTTAGATCGTCAAAAAGCAAGAATCGAACAAGAAGTATTCCGCAAGCTTCTCAGCATTTGTAAAAACCAGTCCATGTTTATTAACGTTCATTTTGATATGTGTGCATGCAAGCATTATGTATATGTAACAGCACCCTCAATTTTATGTTACCAGGGTTTGCTTCGTTGCGTTTCAATACTCAAAGTGGTCTTAGCAAAGACAATTTTATAGCAATGGTCTTAGCAGAGTGACTTTAGTAAGACTGTGTAAGTGATAAACCAAGCTTTATTTGAGGAGTTAAGAGCGTTTTATAGCAATCCCCGCCCTAGGTGTATTTGCAGTCTTCAGTGAATAGTTTATTATTTATACCATTTACCATAAATACGCAATTCAGCACAATGAAATTGACGCTGCTAGTTATGGTTATTCTCCTACCTTTACCTTTTATGAATACTTTGCTTCTGTTCTGAATCTAATTAATATATAATTGATAATTGTTTATCTGTTGTTTGAGTAAATATCTATTTCCCTTACAGAGGTGGTGATTATGATCTCAACCCCTTTTCGCAAGCACCCAGTAGCCTCTTCAACCCACGAGGTATTGGCTCATTACCAAACGCGGGGTCCGTTCCCGGAGCAAGGTTTGACCCAGTTAGTCCGTTTAATGACCCATCGCATAGACCAGGACGAGGTGGAGGGCTGAGAGATACGTCACACAACAGATTAAACTTTGGTGGAGGGTTCTTTTAAGGTGAAAATTAAATGAATACCTGCGTTGGATTGCTATACGTGATCTATGATTGGTCTTAACGCTTAGTTGGCTGTATTTACAGACGATTGCTATTCCTATAAATATCAAATGATTTTCCTTCTCAAAAGTACATATAGCCACAACATGTATGACCCACAAAAATCAGTAATAACATGTGTTTGCTGTAAGAACAGCTATAGAAACTTTACTGTTTTTAGTTTTGCCAATGAGCTTTAAATGTGTGTGTGATAAGATTTTAAACATACAACAAGTATGCGCATTGGCAATCAAGGAGCATAGTTGCTATGGTGTGCTTATTTGTATTTTTATAATCAACGTGGTTATTATGACTACCTGTTTAAAACCAATTTATAGCAATCCACCCAAGGGCTTTTATCATTATTGATACACACTGTCTGATGGGCTAAATAAAATAACATTTAATATTTGAGTTGCTCTATTTTATTAAGTTATTAGTTTCAAGTTGGAAACCAGAGTATTATTAATGACACTGCTCCTGTATAGTGTTTTTTTGCGCACTGAGACCCTTGTAAGGGGCACTTTTTACAAATATTGTGAAATTATTTATTTTTTGTCTTGACTATCAAATTCTATTTTACAAAAACATGTGACATGCATAAATATGGTCACGATGACATCACATAATGACCATATATAGACACATCATGACTAAATATGGCCACACAGCAGTATTTTGTCAAAGAAAATTTGATAGTTTGGACAGAGCTTTAAATTGGCTGACCACCCATTTAAGTATTTTCTTAGTACTGTAGGTAATCTTTCAGACTTTAAAAAGTAAATCACAGAGCACAAAGTAACTTAACAATTTATATATTCTCTACGCATAACTTTATTTATACCATCATAACCATACTTACTACTTCTAATACTACTACTTTTAGGATAATGTTTTAGGCCTTTATCTTGCATAGTAAAAAAAAATTACAAACTTCTGCATTATTTAAACACATACTACATAATATGTAAGCTGTTGTTGATCAATCACTTAATAAATATAAAAAAAAACCAAATCTTTGCGTAGTTTTTATCTCTTCGGGATCTAGTGGTGACAAATACAAAAACAATCTATCTCACAACAAAGTGGTTTGATTTATGAAAACAAAATCTTAGGAATTTAGACAAATAGAAAGATTGATCTTTGGAAAAAGTAGGGAAGTTATTGAACTTTCATATAATTAGAGAAAAGAACATTGCATTGTACTGTGTGTCAAAAATCTATTCCATATAAAAACTATGAGTTACGTATACAAACATAGAACCGTGGAGCAATTAGAAAACCTTAGCCTTGTGTTCTTAGCTAAAAGAACCAACTTTTTGCCTTAGAGACATATATGTAGCATTGAAAAGTTCCATACTTTTTTTGATTAATGTATATGATATACATATAAGACTGTGTAACAGATATTTCGACTACTGTAGTCTTTGTCAACGCTTAACATAAACATGAGCGCAGATCATGGGGGACACATCCCCCACCTATTTTTAAGGGGAGGTCACCCCAAACTTTTCGACCGCAATGTAATTTCATAAGTCAAGAAGATGCCTGAAAATTGTTGAAATGAACTGCATAAATGACCCAGGTTTTAACGCCAGAGCGCTGTACAGCCAGAGTACATCTTATCTTATAGCAAGATATACTGGTATCTCTGCTCACATACATCTGAATTTAATACCTATAATACACAACTCGAGTGCGCATGTCTTTGCGTGTAAAGATAGGATTGGTTTTCGGCACAAATACATCAAAGACAATGTTTTTAATTTTTATTTTCTATATATATATACATATATATATATAGGAAACGAATACCATGTATAGACTTCAGAAACACTTTATTGGAGAAAACCAATATTTCGACCTATCCTCAGGTTTTTATCAAGGTACATCTTGAGGATAGGTCAAAATATTGGTTTTCTTCAATAAAGTGTTTCTGAAGTCTATAC